TGAACCAAGTAGTGCTTACCCTTTGCCATCTGCACCTGGAGGCTTCCAGGCCTTCAAGGCCAGCCTGGCTGCATTGTTGGCAGTGGATTCCTTTAACTGGCCGCAGGCTTCTTCTGCAGTAGTGGGGTAATAGGAAGCCCTGAAAGTCAAGGTTTCCAACAAGTATTCATTCGTTTTTTTACTGGCCTGCCACACACTCAGGGGTCTCACATGCACAGGGTGGGCCCTCTTCTACTCTTCCGGCACCGTGGTCAAATCCTCATTGGTCTCTGGCCTAGGTTATTATGACAGCACGCTCACTGGCTTCCCCACTCTTGTCTCTTCCCCCTCTGCTGTGGGCTATATACCACAGCTGAATTAATCCTAAAGCACAACTTTGATCCTGCCATCCCTGTCCAAACACTCGCCTTTAATCAAAGTAACACTTTTCTCTAAACACCCAACGAAAGCATGTGTTGAGCAAAAGCTTGGAAATAACCAAAAGACTTAAAGAAGAATGTCCCATAATTTCACCACCTAAGGATCAGCTGTAACACAGTTTTAAAATCTTCTCTATTTTATTTTTTAATATCTGGTGCATTTTCTGCCATGTGACCTTTTTCGTTGCTATTGGTGTCCTCTTTGTCGCTTATATCAAACGAGAGGAATGACATCTATGGAGCCAAGGCTTATTGTAAGATAACTGAGTTGAACTGAACATCCTTATGCTTATGTTTTTGTACACAAATGATTTTCTTAGAAAAAATTCCTAGAAGAGGACTTTTACTTGTATTTTAAGGCTTTCTTTAGTGATAAATATGAATAAATAGTCCTCAGAAGGGAAGAATACTTTAGCCTTCTGTCAGGGGTAAACTCATTCCCAATCACTCCAACAGCAGCGTCTTGGCTGGGGTCACGTCCCTCCTCCCAGGCCTTTTCCATCTCCTTGCCCTGCCAACGGATCACTCTCCCCCTGCAGGCACACTGGCTTCTACTCACTCTGCAAACCTCACTGAGGCCCACCAGAGATTGTAGAGGGCATGGGCAGGGCCAGAGCTGTGGTGCAGTGGGTTAAAGCCCTGGCCTGCAGTGCCGGCATCCCATATAGGAGCCAGTTCGAGTCCCGGCTGCTTCACCTTCGATCCAGCTCCATGCTAATGTGCCTGGGAAAGCAGTGGAGGATGGCCCAAGTTCTTGGGCCTCTTCAGTCACCTGGGATACCCAAAAGAAGCTCCTGGCCCCTGGCTTCGGATCGACTCAGCTATGGCCATTGCGGCCATTAGGCAAGTGACCCAGTGGATGGAAGACCTCCCCCTCTCTCTGTAACTCTGTCCTTCAACTAAATAAAATAAATCTTTAAAAAAAAAGCAGGTTGGGGGGAGGGCAGCAGGCAGGCCCTGGAATCAGCCCAACAACACTGCCACCCCAGAGTAGCTGTAAGAACCTAAGTGTACTTGGGGCCTGTGCCTTGGCACAGTAGGTTAATCCTCTGCCTGCGGAGCCGACATCCCATATGAGTGCCGATTCCAGTCCCAGCTGCCCCTCTTCCAAACGGGCTCTCTGCTATGGCCTGGGAAGGCAGTGGGAGATGGCCCAAGTGCTTGGGCCCCTGCACCCACATGGGAGACCGGGAGGAAACATCTGGCTCCTGGCTTCAGATCGGTGCAGCTCTGCTCATTGCGGCCATCTGGGGAGTGAACCAAAAAAGACTTCTCTCTCTCCCTCTCACTGTCTGTAACTCTACCTCTCAAATAAACAAATAAACTCTTAAAAAAAAAAAAAAAACTAAGTGTACAGGATTTCAGACATGTGAGGTGCTTCAGACAGTGCCTGGTATGTCGTAGGTATGAAACAGGTATGTAGTAGGTCTCCCGTGAGCATCAGCCGTGGTTACCTGCACTTAGGTGCCATGCTCCACTCTACGCACGGGAGGTCCAGCTTCAAGAATGCAGCAGTGGCCTCTGCTTCCGTGGAACTAATTCTACACATCATTCAGTGCTCCGCGGAAAACAGGGGGCGCTGCGACAGTGGGGCGGGAGGGGCGCCGGGGTCACTGGCCGGGGAAATCCCTGCTCCCATGCAGGGGTTTCTTCTGAGCCAAGCCCAGGGCAGAGAGGCTGAGGCTCCCAGGTGAGCAGGCCCGTCTTGGTTTTGGTCCCGGAACTCACTGCAGGCAGACGCCTGTCTCCACGGCTTTCAAAGGCTGATAGTACCCCGGGATCTATTTTGATCCTTTTATACCCCTATCTTTGTATCAGTCCAACGAGGGCCAGAAGTCTTGCGGCTGAGGCTTCTCGCTGCTCTTACTCACGCCATCCACTGCCGTGGGCCTGGCGCCAAGGCAGCCGGCTGTGTGGGCGCTGACATGCTTTTAGTCATCGGCTCTACTTGATTTGCTGCTTCGTTGAACTTTTACCAGATCCTCTTGGCCTTCTTTTCCTGCTCCCCTAAAAGCCCTTCCTTTTATTCTGTGAAGTCACTGTTTCCTTGTGAAAAGCCCTTCAATGAGGCAGGTGCATAATTATGTTAAGTAGAATGAAAAAGAAAACTCAGGTATCCCATGTGTTTTCTCCGTGCACCGCACCTCGGCCATGGAGGAGGAAGAATCTTTCTTATTCCGAGTTCTCTTCTCTTCCCAACCTAAGCGAAGCCAGGGCAGAGGGGGAATTGAGTTGATGCCTTTACCAGCGGTGCTCTGGCCTGTGAACAGAGCCCCGCGTCCTGCCCCTCAGGTCCAGGGGATGCGAAAGCTCCCGTGCGCTCAGCAGTGAGCTTCCAGGGTGGGCCGCTGGGAGTTCCAGACAGGGGGAAGCCGGAAGCCCGGAACTCCAGCCGGGTCTCCCACATGAGTGGCAGGGGCCCAAACGCATGCGCCCTCTTCCTCTGCTGTCCCAGACGCATTAGCAGGGAGCTGGATAGGAAGTGGAGCAGCTGGGACACAAATGGGATGCTGGCCTCACAGGAGGCTTAGTGCACTATGCCCGGCTCTCAATCTTAACTATGACCCACAGTGTACACCATGACCCAGTTACACATACAATTATCCTGACTCTCCCTAGACAGCGTGCATTGTGACAGCTTCTATTTTTCTTAACATTGCTCACCTCTTTCTAAATTGTTTTCACAAACTACTAATGGTTTGGACTTGAAGCTTAAAATATGCCACTGAATGTCACAAAAGCATCTGTCCCAGATCTTTCCCTGAATTTTCTGTCGCCAATAACACAGCTCAAGTTACATCAAGAGGCTTAAAAGTTTGGTCCCCCTGTGATGGACTGACCTCAGGGACAGATTGTCAAGGGGTAGGGAGGGGGGATCAAGGGACCATTGCACATACTCTGTTTTCACAGTCAAATCCTTGAAAGATGAAGCAATGGAAGCTGGACTTGATTTTGGCCTGAGAATGAACTTTTTAAAACACCGAATCCAATTTCTTCATTGAAAGAATTGGAGGTGCTCACAGCTGGGGGGATAACCACACCCAAAGGAGAGGGCCTAATGGCTCAGCGTGAACGTGGAGGAAGCTGCACTGGCAGCCCTAATGCTCAGATCCACAGATGCCTTGGAGGACGACATGGGCGACTGTCTGGCCAGTGCAGAGGTGGCAAGGGAAAGTATTTGGGCGAAAGAATTAGGGTAGAAGCTTGAAAGGCAAAGGGCACCCACTCTGGCTGCAGGCACACAGGGGTTTTCCCTCCAGGTTGCTGTTCAGCCACACCCCTGGCTTAATGCTCCAGGCACAGGGGTCAGCCTCTCCCTGAGTCATGCCAGTGTCTCCATACATTGCCAAATGTCCTCCAGGGGACAGAGCTCCTCAGTTGGGAGCCACAGGGATAAACCAATGTACAACCAGGCAGGAAAGACCTCATGGATTTTTGCTGATAGTGAATGTCACATAAACATCGCCAGCAAAAATAGCAAAGCAAATGCAACCTGAACCTGCATTATTCCTGCTCTAAGAGTGGCTCGGAACTGCTGAGTGCTTACTCCGTACCTGGCACGACACCAGGGCCCATCCATGTGCATCCTCTCGTGAGCCCTGGGACGGAGGAATAGGCTTGCCACTGTTTTTCAGACAAGGACACTGATGTCTAAAGGACATTAAAGGACTTGATTGAGATCTCACAGCCGAGCAGGTGGGCTTGGGGCTGTGTCACTCCAGAACCTGCCCACGTGTCCATGGTGTTGTGAGAGTTTCACAGCCAGCCACTAGGCATACATATTCCAAGAACAAGGCAGTGCCTTCCTTACAGAACTAGAACACAGCTGAGAAGCAAGAAACACGTGACAGGTAACCATGAGCCTCCCCAGGATCCTAAAGTGGGGACTTAGCCCTAGCTGAGGTCCAGCCTCCAGTCTGCTAACTTCACACAGAGTTCTAATGTGTCTTTTATTCCTACATCAGCTGGGTAATAAAGTGACTTTTAGAAAGGTTGTCTACACAAGTGGTTATATGCCACCACGCTTCAAAGGTTAAGGGTCAGTTATCTGGAACGGATTCATTCTCTGGGACCCTGATCTTCCAGCACTATGTCTCCAGGTCCGGGGGCAGGGGCCACCAGGATGGAGAGCATCCTGCTCCCAGGCCAGAGCCTGCCAAACTGCCTTCAGAGGCTGTGTCGTGAAGGTAGAGGGCAGGGTGACAAAAAGGCCACAAACTGAGCAGGAATCTTACCTAAGTCAGAGCTGGTGCCACAGCAATGATTGAGAAGAGTCAGGGGATCAGAGTGCTGATTGAGACCCGGCTGCTCCACTTCTGATCCAGCTGTCTGCTAACCCCCTTAGGAAAGCAGCAGCAGATGGCCCAAGTGCTTGGGCCTCCGTACCCACGTGGGAGACCCAGAGGGAGTTCCAGGCTCCTGGCTTCGGCCTGGCCAGCTCTAGCCATTGTGGCCATTGCTCTGTCTCTCTCTCTCTCCCTCTCTGGCTTTCAAATAAACTTTAAAGGAAGAGGTGGTCAGGGGATGCCTGATCCCTGGGACTCACCAGTGGGCAGTGACCTGTCCTCTCTTCTCCCCCAGTGGCAGCCTTGGAGCTCAGGTCTGTGGACCTGCTGAGCCCCAGGAACAACAAGGAGCACCACACGCAGGAGATGGGCCTGCGGCGGCTCATCGTGCGCCGTGGGCAGCTCTTTCATATCCGGCTGGGCTTCCAACGGCCCTTCCAGCCCCACGCTGACTACGTCACCTTTGTGGTAGAGACTGGTGAGTTCACCTGCCCCGGGGTCTGCAGGTTCCCTCAGAGTGGGGGTAGCGACAGAGGGCACTTGTTCCTCCTCGCTCAGCCAGGCTCCCCTCTCTTCTCCTGGGACCTCCAGGACCCTCGCGCTTGGCATCCTGTTGGTGCCAGTAAGGAAAGATTTGGCTAACTCAGCACACTGTTGGCAAAGCAGCCGACCTTTACATTTACAAGCCCCGTATGGAAAATTCACACACATGACCTCACTCAAGCCCCGTGAAGAGACTGTCAGGTGGGTTCTATTATAATCCCATTTTATAGATTTCAAAAAAGAGAGCAAAACCTTAAGTGGTTTGCCCAAGGACACCGAGTCTTGGTAAATGCCTGAAACTGAGAGGATTAGCGAGGATGAATGGATAAAGGAAATGTGGTATATCTAAAAAGAGAATGTTATTCAGCCATGGAAAGACACGAAATCCTGTCATTTGCAGCAAAATGGATGGAACTGGAGGATATTACGGTGAATGAAATAAGCCAGACACAGAGAGATGGCTACTGCATGTTCCCTCTCATGGGTGGAGGCAAAAGAAGTTGATGTCGAAGTCAGAGTGGACTAGAAGTTGCTAGAGGTTAGGAAGGGGGGTGGAGGGAGTGCAGAGAGGGCTTGGTTCACAGATGCCTAAACCCAGATAGCAAGAGTGCCTTCCCGCGTTTTGCAGCTCAGCAGGGTGACTGCAGTTCAAAATCACTATGAAAGACCAGAGAGAGGAGCTGGGAGGTGCCAGGCAGTGAGGAATGATAAGGAGGGCGGGCACGCAGGTGCAGTGGGTTAAGCCACGGCCTGTGACACCAGCACAGGTTCCAGTCCCAGCTGCTCTGCGTCTGATCCAGCTCCCTGTTGGTGTGCCTGTGAAGGCAGCAGATGATGGTGCAAGTACTCGGGCCCCTGCCAACCATGTGGGAGATCCAGGTGGAGTTCCAGGCTCCTGGCTTTAGCCTGGCCCAGCCCCCAACCATTGCAGCCATTTGGGGAGTGAACCAGAGGATGGATCTCTCTCTCTCTCTCTTTAACTGCCTTTCAAATACATAAAATAAACTTTAAAAAAATGATAAAGAGATGGATTTGATCAGCACACATGTGTACAAGCATTGAAGCATCACACTGTACCCCGGACTCAGATCCAATTATTATGTTCATTAAAAAGAACAAAACTTTAACGGTGAGCACTCAATATTGTTTTATCCCAGATGATGATTACTGGGATGCTTCTCGGGTAGGGAGCAAAAGGGAAAACTTCCACGTTCCACAGTGAGACCCTAACAGCTAAAGCCTGGAACTGAAAAATAAGGCAACAGCAGCAGCATGGGCAGCAAGATGAGCGAGCAGTGGGAGGTTAGGGTCCTTCGCTCCCCCACCCCGAATCCTATGCCACACAGATGTGGAGCCTCATGTGAGGTCATTCTCTCCCTCTCCCCCACCCCAGGACCGGAACCTACCGAGCTGCTGGGGACCCGAGCCACGTTCCCACTCACCCAGGCCCCGCGTGGGAATGTCTGGCGGGCTTCTGACTTCGCCATCGACTCCAGCTTCCTCCAGGTCTCCCTTTCCTCCCCAGCCAACGCAGTTATTGGCCACTACACTCTCAAGATAGAGATCTCTCAGAGTCAGGGGCACCGTGTGACTTCCCCGCTGGGGACCTTCACCCTGCTGTTCAACCCTTGGAGCGCAGGTAGGACTCGCTTGCTGGCCGCAGTGCAAGCTGGACCCATCGGGGGGCGCTCTGAGGGTCTACTGAGGAGGTCCAGGTGGCACACCACTGGGCATCTGTGCAACCCGTGGGTCCTGTGTTCAAGCTACAGATCCGCTTTACAAAGATGCTGTAATAGCACGATGGAAGTATTTGTGGTGTGATGTTTAGTGAAATAGCTACTTAGAAAACAGCATGGCATAATCCTCATCATATTAAACATACAAGGGTATTTTAAAAGTTTATGCAAAATGGGGCCGGCGCTGCAGCTCACTAGGCTAATCCTCTGCCTTGCAGCGCCAGCACACCGGGTTCTAGTCCCGGTCGGGGCGCCGGATTCTGTCCCGGTTGCCCCTCTTCCAGGCCAGCTCTCTGCTGTGGCCAGGGAGTGCAGTGGAGGATGGCCCAAGTGCTTGGGCCCTGCACCCCATGGGAGACCAGGAGAAGTACCTGGCTCCTGCCATCGGATCAGCGCGGTGCGCCGGCCGCAGCGCGCCGGCCGCGGCGGCCATTGGAGGGTGAACCAACGGCAAAGGAAGACCTTTCTCTCTGTCTCTCTCTCACTGTCCACTCTGCCTGTCAAAAAAAAAAAAAAAGTTTATGCAAAATGGAATTGAAAGGTAAGTTTCTTTTGGTGCAAAAACTTATTGAGACCTACAGAAGTGAGGGGTCTTTAGAAATCTTATGAAAAATGCGTAAACTGTGTATAGATTTAAAATGTTTGTTCCAAAATAAACTTATTTTAAAATTCCGTTCTCCATGAAACTTTCGAAGTCTCCTGGTACATGCAGAGAAAGAGCGAGAGGGCAGAGGCACCAGAATGGAGTGGTGGCTCTCTCCGGGTGGTGGGATGATGACAGCGTCCTCTTCCTGTCCGTCTTCATTGTCTAAATCTCTACAATAAGCTTGTCACTTTGCCACCGTGAAAAGACAATCACTGCTCTTTTAGAGTGTGCCTTCTCGGCCTTTCGGCTAAGATCAAGCGAAGAGTGTGCCTTATGCGGAGAGCCGGCTCTCAAGGGAGGCCAGGCTGAGTTTCTGTTGCCATCAGCCCGCTCCCACTTCTCCTGCTTTCCAGAAAGCCCTGTGGTTCCTGTGTAATGTTGTGGTTCTGCTTTCTGGTTTGGGGTGTTCTGTCTGCGGCCCTTCCCCACTCAGAGGACGACGTCTACCTGCCAAGTGAAATGCTGCTGCAAGAGTACATCCTGAGAGACTACGGCTTTGTCTACAAGGGGCACGAAACGCTCGTCACCACCTGGCCCTGGAACTACGGGCAGGTAACACCCTCACCTGAAGGCGGGCCTGGAGGGCTCCTTAAGGCTGTTCCTGTCAGCTCAGGGAGAGCAGCTCAGCCAGGGCGGGGGGCGAGGGGCTGGCCCAACTCCCATTCGGGGAGCGGCAGTGCCTTTCCTGTTCAGTTTTTAAAAAATGTTTATTTGTTTATTTTCATCTAGTTGAAAGGTTGAGTGATAAGAGAGAGAGAGAGACAGCAAGCAAGCTTCCATCCCGATTCACTTCCCGAATGTCCACAATACTCAGGGCTGGGCCAAGCCCAAGCCAGGAGGCAGGAACTCCATCTGAGTCTCCCACGTGGGTGGCAGGCGCCCAAGCTCTTGAGCTGCCATCTGCTGCTTCTCAGGTGCATTAGCAGGAAGCTGGATCAGAAGCAGAGCCGGGACTCAAACCAGCACTCTCATGAGGGACACAGGTGTCCCAAGTTGTATCTTAACCTGCGGCAGCACATTGCCCAACCCTCCTTTTAGCTTTTAATATTTTATGATGAAAAAACTTAAAGCATAATAAGCAAAAATAGGGACTTCCAGGGAACTTTCTCAGCCTCAATCATGATCAGTTTCTGGTGAGTCTTCTTGCATCCATATCTGGGATTTACAGACTATGGCCCACGGGCCAATGTGTCCATTGTTTTGTGTGGCTTGCAAGCTAAGAATGATTTTCATATTTTTAAGTTGTTGGGGGAAAAAAGAGTTTCCAAACAATAATACCTTGGAACATATGAAAATGACATGAAGTTCAAGTCTCAGTGGCCATGGATGACCTTGTGTTGGAACACGGCCATGCCCATTCATCTGGACATGGTCTGTGACTGCTCTTCAGTGTCAGCTGCAGAACTGGGTTGTGGAGAGCCAAAGGCTGCAAAGGCTAAAGACGAGTATTGACTCCCTAGCCCTCTACAGGAACATTTTTCCTATCCCTGGTCTATATTCATCTATTTCCCCCACCCCAACCCTGGAATTTTTAGAAGCAAATTACAGACAGTATGCCATTTATCCCAAGAATACTTCAGAATTAGAGCTCTAAAAGATAATGACTGAAAATTTGACCACAGTACATTATCATAACTGACGACAATGAAGAGTAGTGCCTGAATACCATCCACACGCAGGGAGTGTACACAGTGAGACTTGGGCTCTGGGCAACTTGCCCACTCTCAACCCCCAACCACAGCAGGAGAAGCCTCTCTCCTCCTCCCTCTGCCCTATCAGACCTGTCCACAAACTCTGGGAGGGAAGTCATGCTGGGGCCTTGCTAAAAAAAAAAAAATCGGGGTGGGGGAACGAAGGAACATAACCTCCCGCTCATTTCCCCTTTTCTCAACTGTGGTACCTTGTGAAAGCTTTTGGCACTGAGCCGATACCAGGGCATTTGTCAGAGTTGTCACATATGATGCAAACATGCATCATGAACCTACACCGACTTGTCTGGTGCCCACAGCAACAGCTCTGAATTCCTTCACCTGGTCTTTGAAAATTTTATTTATTATTTGAAACACAGAGAAGAAAAAGAGATACACAGAGGGAGATATTCCATTCACTGGTTCACTCCCCAAATGCCTGCAAAAGCCAGAGCTGAACCAGGCCAGAGCCAGGAGCTAGGCACTCCATCCAGGTCTCCCACGTGGGTATCAGGGACCCAAGCACGTGGGCCATCACCTGCTGCCTCCCAGAGTGTGCACTAGCAGGATGCTGGGATCAGGAATGGAGCCAGGACTGTGCCCAGGGGTTGTAGGAGTCCCAGGTGGTGACCTCAGTTGCCTGCCCCTGCTCTACCTGACTTCAGGACCCTGCCCATCTTCTCCCTTCCCCCCAATCCCAGGTCCCATCTGTACTTGCATTTACCCAACTAATCTTTCCTTGTTCCCATAAGTCCTCAGAGCGGAGGTTAAGTCCTAGGGACCCACCACCTCCGTGGCCTCATGCCAGTGTCCCCACTCTCCTGTCTTCCTGTCCACTCACTCCTTCAAGTCCACAGGCTCCAAAAACCCTCTCAGATCTAGTGAGCCAACCATCAGTCTCTCTCCCTCTCTGAATTCTGTGTGCGTTTTCCGTCGGAGCCACACAACGCGCTTTCTCAGAACCGCAACTCTAATGGCGTCCCATTTTGATGTACCAGCTCTGGGAAGGCTGGGCCTTGCCTTAAAAGCGGGATGGTCTGTTCGTGACTCCCAGTTTCCCAATTCGGGGCAACTGGTGCTCTTCTCTCTTTTTCTCCCTTGAAATCTATTGGAAGTTCGAAGAGGACATTCTCGATATCTGCTTTGAGATCCTGAACAAAAGCCTGCATTTCTTAAGCAACCCGTCCCGAGACTGTTCGCGGCGGAGCGACGTGGTGTACGTGTGCAGGGTGGTGAGCGCCATGGTGAGCAGCGCCGCTCGCGCGCCCCTCCAGCCGGCGCCCTCCCCGTCTCCCCCGCCCCGACCTGGGGCTGTGCAAACACCCCCTGCCCCTCTCCCACAGATCAACAGCAATGACGACAGCGGCGTGCTGGAAGGCAACTGGGGCGAGGACTACTCCAGGGGGCTCAGCCCGCTGGAGTGGAACGGCAGCGTGGCCATCCTGCGGCAGTGGTCAGCGGGGGGCGGGCAGCCTGTCAAGTACGGACAGTGCTGGGTCTTTGCCTCTGTCATGTGCACCGGTGAGTGAGGAATCCTCGGGATCCCCTTCGACCTCGGACCGCAGTTTGCTCTGCTCTGAAAGACTCGGGACCGGGGTGGGGAGAGGGGCAGCTGGCTGGTACCCAGAGCACCTACGCAGTCCCCGGGTGCACATTTACCTGAGAGAGGAGTCACCTGTTGTAGTCACCCCGGTTTCTTCCATGAGGCAATGAGATTGATGCCCAGATGGAGGAGCCTGCAGTCCCAGACATGTCTCTGCCCCTAGGCAGAGCTAGCCGCCTGCAAGCGTTTCTCTGGGAGATTTTTTTTTTTAAAGATTTTATTTATTGGAGAGTTAGAGTTACAGACAGTGAGAGGGAGAGACCGAGAGAAAGGTCTTCCATCTGCTGGTTCACTCCCCAGATGGCTGCAACAGCCAGAGCTGCACCGATCCGAAGCCAGGGGCCAGGAGCTTCTTCCGGGTCTCCCACGTGGGTGCAGGAGCCCAGGGACTTAAGCCATCTCTACTGCTTTCCCAGGCCATAGCAGAGAGCTGGATAGGAAGTGGAACAGCCGGGACTAGAACCAGCGCCCATATGGGATGCCAGCACTGCGGGTGGAGGATTAACCTACTGCGCCAAGACACGGCCCCTGGGAGATTGTTGAGGCATTGGGAGTAGCGTAGACAGCTTCTTTGCGCCTCATCCTTAAGGAGCTTCAGGGTTTTGCATATCCTCAGTTATTTGCAATTCTCTGCCAAGCTGCACCTGAGGTTATCTCTGAAGGTGATGGGAAGATGGAGACCCCTGTCTCCCCGTGGAAGGCCAGGGGACCTCCCGCAGGGCAGCCCTGTTACACTGTGTTGCTTCATAAACACTTGCTGAATTTACTCCTTGGTCCTGAGCGGGAGAAGCGGGGAGCACAGGATGGGGAGGACGAAGACAGTCTGATGACAACGTTCTAGACTTCTCTCTGAATGGCAGCATAGCCTGGCAAGACACACAGGAGCTACAGACAGAAGAGGGTTCGGGGCCGGTGCTGTGGCGCAGCGGGTTAACGCCCTGGCCTGAAGCACTGAAGCATTGGCATCCCATATGGGCGCTGTTTCTACTCCCGGCTGCTCCACTTCTGATCCGGCTCTCTGCTATGGCCTGGGAAAGCAGTAGAAGATGGCCCAAGTCCTTGGGCCCCTGTACCCACATGGGAGACCTGGAAGAAACTCCTGGCTCTTGGCTTTGGATTGGCGCAGCTCTGGCCGTTGCAGCCATCTGGCAAGTGATGGAAGACCTCTCTGTCTCTACCTCCCTCTGTAACTGTCTTTCAAGTAAATAAAAATAAAACTGAGGGTTCCAATTGAGTGCCATACTTGTTCCCTCGTGAAAGGGAGCTGAGGCTGCTCTGTCACCTAGTGTTCCCAATCCTGCCTTGAGCTGGGGAACTCCCAGACAGCAGCCAGGCAGGTCACAGACAAGGCCTCGGCTTTGAGTCCTGGCGGGAGAGAGAACCAGGTCCACGGCCTTGCTCCACTGCAGAGCCCCGAGCCCCACCAGGCCCTGGAGTTCCGGGGCCACTGAGCAGGGGGAGCTGCTCTTGCAAACTCCAGCCCCCCACAGCTCAGGGCTGACTTCCCTGCCTGCTGAGAGTTTGTGAGAAGCTTGAAGCTGTACTGAGAGCGGAAAGGTGACTGTCAACAGGTGGCCCTTGTGGGGGTTTTCAGTGAATGGAAACTAAAGGTTTGGTCCTTTCACCCTTTAAGATGGTGGTATCCTCCCTGCAGCCTGGTGGGCTCTGTCTGCTCCTCCCGGCAGAGGTGGGGACCCATGTCCTCAAGGTCACAGCTTGGCTTCATTCCATCTCTCTTTGGGCACGTGTGTGTATGTATGTGGTGGTGGGTAATAATGCCGGCTCTGACCCTATCTGGGAAGGCTCCGCTTAACAAAGCCTTTGTAGCACTATCCTGGGATGCCACAAGAGGGAGCTGTTGCCTTATTGAAGATGGCCGCCACCTCCTCTGGGGTTTCCCTCCTGGCTTCCCCCAAAGTGCCTCTAGAAGCCTAGCCGTCCTCTGATTTCCCTTCTACCTTCCCCAGGGAGACTCTTGTTGAGAACTTCTGAACTGAAAGTCACCTACTCCCACCCCTAATTCTTTTCCACACAAGTGGATTAAGACCCAGAGAAGTTAAACCACTTACCTAAGGTCACACAGCTTTGGAACTGGCCACAGTGCAGACCCACAGTTTTACATTTTTTTCCTCCTAATCACCACATTTTCCATTCTCTGTTTTTAACTTGGAAAGGTGTGCAGCAGTGATAGCCGTAAATGATGAGTTGAGTTGTTGTCCATTGTTGTTTAGAGTGATTCTCCCATGATTTCTCCCTCCTGGAGTGGCGGAGCCACTGACAGGGCAGGCGGGCAGCAGGGCTCTGGGCCTTGGCTTCTTTGTCTCTTCCAGCTTGGAAGTAGAAATTACGCATGGAAACCCAGTCGTTATGCTTGACGTGGATTCAGGGATTCTCTCTTCCTTGTCTTCTCTTCAGTAATGCGATGCTTAGGTGTTCCAACCCGTGTTGTTTCCAACTTCCGTTCTGCACACAATGTGGATGGGAACTTGACCATTGACACCTACTATGACCAAAACGCAGAGATGCTGCCGACTCAGAAACGAGACAAAATCTGGTAAGGCAGGAAAACTTGTCACCGGTTCTCTGGCTCATGTGGCCCTTTACCTGCTGTGGATGCTCCGAGAATAATCCCCCAGCCCAGGAGGTGGTCCTGACTCACTGGCCCGTTGAATCAAACCCACCCCAGAGACACGGGTCAGGGGGATGACGTTCCGAAGCCATGACCGAATGAACAGCTGTGTGTCCTCCAACTGACCCTAAGGCCTTTCTTCTTACTCTTCCTCCCCTGGGTCTCCCCACTGGTCCCACTCTGTTTCTCCTGCCAGGGCCGGAGCCTGGGTTTGCTGCCTCTGAGTGCCTCTTTTCGTCTCTCCTAGTGTCTCCTCTCCTTGAACTTGTGTGCCATTCTGAGTAGTTTGATGAAATCTTTTTTTAAAAAATACATTTATTTGTTTGTTTATTTGAAAGGTGGAGTTACAGAGAGGAGAGACAGAGAGGCAGAGGAAGGCAGAGGCCTTCCATCTGCTGGTTCACTCCTCAGGGGTTGGACCAGGCAGAAGCCATGAGCCTGGAATTCCATCTGGGGCTCCCACGTGGGTGGCAGGGGCCCAGTACTTAGGCCATCTTCCATTGCCTTTCCAGGCACATTGGCAGGGAGCTGGATTGGAAGTGAAGCAGATGGGACTCAAACCAGTGCCCATATGCACAGCATTTCAGGCTGTGGCTTAACCTACCTCATCACAATGCCAGCCTCAGAATAAAGAAATCTTGGACTGTCCTACCCTGTCCTACCCAGGAAGTGAATCAACCTTTTGTCCAGCGTATCCACACTTTATATGCTGCCCACCCATTAGCCACTTAGTTGCCTTTCTGATTATCAGATCGACTAGCAGTACTGGGTACTTGTGCTCAACTAGCTTTTATGTTACTTTAAAAAAATTCTTAAAACTTACTTGTTTTTCATTTTTAACTTGCAAGACAGAGTGACACAGAGAGAGACACACACAGAGATCCCCCAACTGCTAGTTCACTTCCCAAGTGCCTGTAACAGCTGGGACTGGGCCAGGCTGAAGCCAGTAGCCAGGATCTCCATCCAGGTCTTGCATGTGGGTGGCAGAGATCCAAGTACTTGATCCATCATCTGCTTCCTCCCAGGATGCATTAGCAGGAAGCTGAATCAGAAGTGGTGTAGCCAGGACTCAAACCAGACACTCTGATATGGCGTCCCAAGTGGTGACTTAATCTCTGTGCCAAATGCCTGCCTATGTTTGCTAAGAGTAGTAATGCTGGCAATTCAGATATGCAGACAGAAGCCAGTAAGTGCTCCCTTTAACTGAAAAGGTGAAGTACAGTAAGATACAGTATTCTGAAGGCAGACCATATTCACATAACTTTCATTACAGTATATTGTTATGGTCATTTTATTATTGTTTTTAATCTGCTCTAAGTTATAAATTAAACATTATCATCATTACATGTACACAGCATATACAAGGTTCAATACTAACCACGGTTTCAGGCATCCCCTAGGAGTCTTGGAACATATCTTCCACAGACATAGGGGGACTACTGTATACACGCCCACATCTAGATTGAAGAAAAGCAAATGGGACAAACTATTAACCATAGATGAAGTGGATCTACGGGTGTTCTCTGTAGTACTCTTTTGGCTTTACTGTAGGCTCGAAATTACTTCCAAACAAAGAGTAAAACAAGAAGCAGTGCTCTAACGCACTCAGTGTAGTGTGTGGTGCTGGGTAAAGCTCGGGTGTAAGGTCTTATCCCTTTACTCTCTCCTGCAGGAATTTCCATGTCTGGAACGAATGCTGGATGATCCGGAAAGACCTCCCACCCGGATACAATGGGTGGCAGGTGGTGGACCCCACCCCCCAGCAAACCAGCAGTGGTGTGTGAGGACCAGGGTGGAAGGGTCTGGGGTCCGTGGGGAGGCTGAGGACAGTGGCCATCCATGTGAGCAGGCAGAGGCAGCTTCCGGCAGGGAAGCTCACTTCGCCTTGACCATGGGGGTCACCTGGGTGAGTCACTCTCTCCACTATCCAGTGGCAGAGGTAATGACACTAACTGCCCCCTCCCGGGGCAGCTGCGAGGGTCAGATGAATTAATGGGATGGGAGGGCCTCCTGTGGGTGAGCTATTAGAGCCACTGCCTGTCCCATCTCCGCACCTCCCGCCCCCACGGCCAGCCGCCCCTGGCCCACCTGTCAGCAGCCTTGTTCCTCCACGTGTGCTGCATCCACAGGGCTGTTCTGCTGTGGCCCTGCCTCTGTGAAGGCCATCAGGGAAGGGGAGGTGCACCTGGCCTACGACACCCCTTTTGTGTTCGCCGAGGTGAACGCTGATGAAGTGGTGTGGCTGTCCAGGGATGGCCAGGCCCAGGAAGTGCTGGCCCACGATAGCCGCTCCATCGGGAAGGAGATCAGCACCAAGGCGGTCGGCTCAGACCAGCGCCAGGACATCACCAGCTCCTACAAGTACCCAGAAGGTCGTCCTGGCCCGGGGGGCTTTGGGAAAGGGACGAAGGTGGCCTCCTTTGTGCTGCCCCACCCCCATCTAGAATGGCTCCAGGTTAAAACCATCACTGCCTCATCACCTTGTGTGGGAGATGCCCAGGGTGCCTTCCTGGACTCAGTGGATAAAAATAGGGTGCCTGGCTAAAATTTAATTTGAAAGAAATTCAGAGACACTGACACTTTACTAGTAACACTTTCTCCCAGATACTGCAAGTGACATCCCTGTAGTAAAATGTGTTTTTGGTTGAACTGAAATTCAAAGTCAACTGGGTGTGATTTCCAGTGTCACTGTGTGCCAAATACTGCACACAACACGCTGCACTAAAACGTGATGTGTTCTCTCTCTGAAATTCAAACCCAGCGGGATGCCCTATATTATATCTGGTGACCATATCCCAGGGTCACACTGCAGTTTCCCAAGTCCCAGAGGGAGAGGTGGCAGCAAGGGGGGAGGTGGATCTGCGAGAGAGAGAGAGAGAGACAGGGCCCTGGACCTGTGAAAGCAGCGGCATCTCCTGGGAGGAAGCTTCAGGGGGAGCCAGGCTGCCTGCGTGCTACACGCAGCTCTGCTGTGTTCTGGCTGTGTGGGCCCAGACGCGCTCTTCCCATCCCTGTGCCTCCTCTTCTGCATCTGTGAAATGGGATCACAGCTCCTCTGAGGGCTGTGGGGAGGGGTGAATGAGTTAAAACGCAGAACACACTGGGAACAGGAGTGAGGGTGCTGGGGGCGGGAAGTCTCAGGCTATGAGGATGATGGTCGTGATGGAGGTGGCACTCGTGACAACTCCCTCTGCTCGGCTTTTTGAGCAAACCCATGAATGAGGCAAGCAGATGTCGCTGAGCGATTCGGGGACTCAGACAGACTGAGGGTTTGAAGTCACCTTGAGGGGCCCCCATTTTCCAGGGAAGCTCCCTGGCCCGCCCTTTCCTCCCAACTGACACCTGTCCTGTGTCTGCTGTGCCAGGATCTCCAGAGGAGCGCTCCGTGTTCATGAAGGCTTCCCAGAAAATGCTGGGGCCCAACAGGGCCTCTTCGCCGCTCCTGGATCTCCTGGGGTCCAGGGGCTCTGAGGACCAGCCGGCGCGGCTGCGGCTTCACCTGTCCAGGACGCCCGTGTGGGGCCAGGACTTGCTGCTGATGCTGCATGCCCAGAGGGTGCCAGACACAGCCCACGGCCGGGGTCCCATGGGATTGGTGGTACGGTTCTGTGCACAGACCCTGCTGCACGCAGGCGGCACCTGGGGGCCCCTCTGGAGGCAAACGGTGCACCTGAACCTGGACTTTGGGAAGGGTGAGTATGCGGCAGGCCTGAGAAGGCGCCTGCAACAAGGGATCCTTGGGGTGGTGAACAAAGGTGGGCAGTCACACAGACAGCAGTGCCCGGCAGTGAAGCTGGCACTGGAGGGTGGTTTGAATGGCAGCTGCTGTGACTCTGCAGCCATCCCATCAGGTGAATCACTGCTCTGTGGCCAGTTTGTGCATGGTTCAGGGTAAGCATACTTTCTCTCTCTCTCTCTCTCTCTCTCTCTCTCTCTCTCACACACACACACACAGACACACAGACACACAGATTCATATTTAATGTCTCTTGAAAAAACACCTTCCCCCTTCTCCATTCCCCCTCGCCCCCTTCCCCCTCTGGTTCTCTGGATCAGCATGGTTTCTGCTGTGTTTAGAGATCTGGTGGCCACTCCTGCTGCCCTACAGCACTTATAGAAACAAGCTGACGGATGAGAAGCTGATCCGCGTGTCGGGCATCGCTGAGGTTGAGAAGACAGGGAGATCCATCCTGGTCCTGAAGGACATCTCTCTGGAGCCTCCCCACTTGTCGATCGAGGTAAGGCGGCGGATGGGGGCTGGGGTGCTCTCTGACTCGCCCCCCCTGGGGGGGACTGGGGGTGTGGCAGCCAACAAGGCACTGTCCCTGCCTGGGATAGCAACCCAGTGATGAAAGCACAGCGGTGGCTGCTCTCTCGTGTGCTGTACAGAGTGCAGGGTGGGGCATGAAGGCTTCTTGGAGGAGGTGACACCTGGCAGGAGATGCACAGGAAGACATGTTAAGTAAGGAAAGAGCTTTGCAGAGGCAAAGAGACCAGAAAGGCAGTGAGCAGGAGACGATGTAGATTTGAGAGAGACCACAAGGGCAGGTCCAAAAGGTGACTGCGGATATGACAGAGGGCACAAAGAGGAGGGCTGCGTGAAAAGTGAAATTTTGAGCTCAGATGCTGGAGTCGCTGGTGGGGGCATTACACGAGGGGAGAGGTGCAGGTGAAGGGAGGGAGGAGGAGGAGGCTGGAGTGCGCCCCATCTCCTGTTACCAGCATTTTCCTTCCCTGAAGCCTCCTCTAACTCTGAAAGACTGCCTACTGCCGAGATCACACATGGCTGTGCACCTGGTGGCCCCGGCATCAGCATGCCCCTTCCTCACCCAGAATGAGCATCAGTGGCTCTGGGTCATAAATCAGCAACCTCAGCCCATGCTTTGGCCCTGGGTACACTGCCGTGGCATGGGGCCAGCTGGGCAGCCTCCACGGTGGGGCAAAGGTAGGCAGAATGGCAGGTGCAGGTGCAGCCCGCTGCTGAGTTACAGTGCTGTTCGCTCACCAGAACAAAGCTCTGGCTGCAACAGGATCCTGATGTACACAGCAGGTGCCAGAGAGCAATTCCCTGGGGACTTGTGTGACTGCTGGATTCCAGGGCTATTTCAACTGGTTTTCCTTTGACACTCTCATGAAGATCCATGGTCCTGGGTTCTTTTGTTTGAACTCCAGATACGATTCGGTGTATTTCTTCCTTCTCCTTGACTCTCTGGCCAACCAGAACATGCCCATTGTGTGACATGGGTTGTCAGAGCCTCTTTCAGACCAACCCGTGTGTACTGATGTCCACTGTTAGGCTGGCACTGAGCCGCACACAGGGGCTCCAGCAAGGAGTGGGACAGAATCCCTGCCTCCCACTCACGGCCAAGGCTGTGCTGCCCTGTGACGCAGCCCTCATAAGTGATGCGCTGAATACACCCGGACAAGCTCAAGAGAGTGTCCTGCTCGGGTATAGGAAGACACAGTTGCATGGGGGAGAGATGCTAGACTGGAGGAACACATCCTGGCCGCCCTGTGCTCTCACTGGTGGAGCAACAGGCTGGAAGGACATTGGTGGCCCAGGGAGCACCCTCGACATCATTTCCTTCAGCCACACCTGCATCAGACACTGCTCATCAGTCACGACGCTCTGACTGACTCTGTCCTCGGATCCTACTTAACACGGGATTCTTGCTAACTGGATGGGGCTGGCACTACAGCTGAAATGCCGGTGTGCACATTAATCTCAAAGATGCAGCTCAATGCATCTTAGCTCCAAGCAGCAGTCCCTGGTGGTCACTGGAGGAAGGGGAGACCACCGAGTTGGTGAGATCAGGTGCCCATGATACCTGTCTTCCTCCCCCAACAGGTGTCTGGAAGGGCGGAGGTGGGCAAGGCGCTCAGAGTCCACATCACCCTCACCAACACCCTCACGGTGTCTCTGAGGAACTGCACGATGGTGCTGGAGGGCAGTGGCCTCATCAGTGGGCAGCTGTCAGATGAGTAAGTGACTCTGCCCAGGCGCCTGTCCCGTGCCCTGGTCCTCGGGCCTCCTGCGTCTCCCGGCTCCTGCCTACTCGCCTTCACTCAGCTGGGCTTGGTGATGTTGGGGAGTGGGAGGTCCTCACCCAGCCGGAAGGGGAATCTGATCCTAAACTCAAGGCGCTCACAGATGCTTTCTGACTCCCAGCCTTGGGACGCTGGAGGCGGGACACACCATGCAGATTCAAGTGGACCTGTACCCCGTCAGGGCGGGGCCCCGCCAGCTGCAAGTCCTCATCAGCAGCGACGAACTCAAGGAGATCAAGGGCTACAAGGACATTTTTGTCACTGCAGCGAGAGTTTCCTGAGTCCTGCCCTTCCCTCTTCTTGGCCTCCCGGTTCCCAAGCCTTCCTGGAGCCCTCCCCAGCCTCCCAGCCTCCCAGCCCCACCTTGCTCCCTGCTACTCCTGGCTGTGTTATCTTCACTACAGCTGGGTCCTCTGCCCGGCCTGCCTGGGGGATGGGTGGTGGTGGTGGTGAATGCAACTCTGTTAGGACCTCTGTGCACCTTGTCAAGGGGCAGGGACGTCTCATTCATCGCAGGACTCTAACAAGCGGCTCCGTGCCACCAGCTGGTGCTCTTGGCCTGGCTGCCAGCAGTGTGGCTGGGCCCTCGCTGCTCCTCCTACCCTCTCTCTCCTCTCCACCCAGGGCTTCATCCATAAAATAAGCCCAGCATGATTGCCTGTGGAGCGGCCCCTCTGGAGCTAATCTCCCAGGTCTCTGTGCTGCAGGGGTCTTAGCAAGGGCCATGACTGTGACTGCAGCACCCCCTAGGCCACTGACCAAAGCTGCCCAGCCTGCTTTCTTTGCTGGTGGCCCACTAGCCTTCCGGAAGGGTGAGGCAGCTGCCTTCCCACGGGCAGTCATTCAGCAAACACTGGCTGTGGCAGGCGTGCGGCAGGCCCCCCACCCCACCGCATGATGACCTGGCTGGCTCCCTCCAGCCACAGGCCCTGGCCTTTGCCAGCCCCAGCCTGCTGCTCTGCCCCCCTCACCCCAACCTCGCAGCCTCTCCTCCTTGGTGTCCCCTGTTTCTGTTATTTTAGGGACAAAGGGAACCATTCTTTTGTATAGCCCCCCTCCCCAGTGGTTATCGAAACCATTCATGCTCATTCCAGACAATTTGGAAAGACAGCGAAGTGAAAAGAAACTAAGAGAAAAACCACAGCACTGCTCCTCCGGAGGAAATCCCTGCCGATAGTGCCGAAGCGGCATTCTGGGCCTCCCCTCCCACTGTGTGTGCACGAGCATTTTAAGTCACCACTGCGGGTGTTTGGTGCCACTGTTAAACTGCTTGGGACACCTGCATCCCATACCTGAGAGCCTGGGTTCCAGCCCCTGCTCCACTCCTGATTCCAGCTTCCTGCAAACGTGCGCCCTGCGAGGCAGCAGGCGATGGCTCAAACAGCCAGGCTCCTGCCACCTGTGTGGGAGACCCAGCTTGAGTTCTGTGCTCCTGGCTTTGGCTTCGTTCAGCTGTTGCAGGCATTTGGGGAGTGAACCAGACGATGGAAAACATCTCTGTCTCTATCTCTCTTTCAAAAAAAAAAAAAGTTGAAAATAAATATATAAAGTTTTTAAGTCATAAACTTGTTGATGCATCCTGATCATAGATAATAAGAAACCCAGAACCACAGAAAAGGGCAGCAGCTCCCTGTAGGTTTTGAGGCATCGGCCTTTGTCCTTGCCCGCTCCGCACTGGCTCCGTGGCTCTGAAGTTTGTTTGGCTCCTCTTGCCGTCCCTCACCTCCCCTTCTTCCTGCTCCTCCTCTCCCTCCTTTTTTTTTTTTTTTTTATTTGTCTGCTCGCCTTGCGTCCTCCCCTCCTTCTATTTCCTCTCTCTGGGCAGCCCCTCTAGGCTGCACCTCCCCCTGGCGGGTCCTCACTCAGTTGCTGGGGGCAGAAACAGCCGGAGCTCACACGCCCTCACTCCGCCGTGTGTGCCAGCCGCGCCTGTTTCCTTGAAATGCCATCGGCCATTTCTGTGGAGCTCTGTCACTGCCCTGTCCTGGCTGTGTTTCAGGTGGCTCCCGCCCTTGAGACAGGGTCACCTGTGCTGGACCCTGCAGGGGCATGGCATCTGCTCGTGTGCTGAGTGCCAGGCCCATCTCTGGTTGGTCACTGCCCTCCTGTCCTGCCGGAAGGGCACAGTGGGCAGACTTCGCACTGGGCCCCTGAGGAGGCCGGGGCATGGATATTGCCACCTCTACCTCCCCCACGCCCCTTTCAAATGATTTCCCTGTCCCCACCTCACAACTGGCTTCAGAAGTCACAGTCTGCAGCATTTTCTTCTGCTTCCCATTTTTCACTTGGCCATGCCTGTCTGGCTTTGTGTCCCCATCTCGGTCGGAGGAGCTAGATCATTTAAAAACTGTCTTCCAGCTGACATCCCCCGGGGCTCAGAATGCTAAGGTTCAACCCCACCTTCGTCGCACCTCTGCTTTTAGGTCCTGAGCCACCCTCTCCCCTCACAACCACCCAGTGAGGCTGACACACCTGGGCAGGTGGTGGCCCTCATGGACAAACTGGGGCAGAGGGGTCAGCCTGCGAAGTGAGGGGTGACATCAGCCAGGCCACGCCTGTGGCTTCTGACTTGGCAAAGGCCGTCATGCTCATATTTTGAGGGGTTGGTAGTTTTGGGGGTCCCACGATGTCCAGCATCAATGTGGGATACACGGCAAAGAGCTCTGACTCGTTCCTGGCGTGACCCTGCTTCCCCCACCCCAGTGTAAATTGACAGGTGCGGTGCCCGCCCTACCTTCCCTCGCAGGGCCTCTGGTGTGACTCCCTGCGGCTGGGAGTGGGCAGGGGGTGCCAACAGCGAGATCCACTTGGATCTGTCATTTCCAGGTTCCCTTTGCTGCCATCCATGGAGACCCCTCTCCCCCACCGCCTCTCAGATCCAGGCACCAGGGCGTCAAGAGCCTGACTGACTGCACACAAGGAAAGTGGGATGGCCAAGGGCAGACCAGAAACTCGGGGCAGGGGCAGAACTGGCCCCCAAGTCTCTCTGGGTGTTAGAAAGGCTGCCTGGCCCATGGGGCTGGCACGCGCCTCCACGTCTCTGCTCCAGCACCCCTCCCCTGAGGCTCAGACAGGAAGGTGCCTGCCAGCTGGGCTCACCTTCCCGACGCTCCTTTGCCTCCTTGCCCGGGACCACGCTACTCTGATCAGAGCTGTCTCCCCTCAGCACGCCCACCCCACATCCTCTGACTAATGCTCCGCAGGAACCTGTAAATCACCTCATTAGGCCCAGGGCCCAGAGCTTATTCAGCCCCAAGGGGCCGGGCCGAGCCCCTGGCGCAGGTTTTCCTGGCCCCATGAATGGGCGTCATGCCCCAGCGGCGCTCCCACCTCCTCTCCCCTTCCCAGGACTGCCCGGGCGGGCGAGTCTTCTCCCAGCCCTGCCTGGCTGTATGAGGGCCTTTGGGGAGGTCCAGGCCCTGTGAGGACTTCTGCCCCAGGTGCAGGGGGCTGGTGTGGGGGACTGGCAGAGCTGCCCAGTGTGCGGTCCACTCAAGGCACTTTGTCTCAAGTGGCTTCCTGGGGGCTCTGCGATCCCAGCACCTTTCCCCAGCTCCTCTGGGCTGTCCCCAGGGACACCATGAAATAGCAATGGCCTGATGGCCTGTGGGCACCTTCCCCCTCCCATGCTGCCTGTCCTGGCTGCAGTTACCAGGCTGGACCAGGCTAATAGCCTGGAATGCCATGTGGGCAGTCACATGGGCTGCAGGTGGCCAAGCACCTGGCCCTCTCAGGCACCTCAGCAGGTAGCTGCATCTGAAGCAGGGTAGCCAGGACAGGAACAGGCACTCTAATATGGGATGCTGGCACCACAAGTTAGCAGGCCAACCTGCTGTAGTACAATGCCCACCCTCCTGGATCATCTTTAAATTCATTTAAATTCATTCATTCCATCAGACAACAAACAGGAATTGGAAACCCAACCATGTTTCAGATACTGCGCTGAGCACTTGGGAAGCACCCAGTCCCTGGAGTCTGACTGCCTGCCTTTAAAAGCTGGTGCCACTGGTTCTTTATGAGTGAACTTGGGAAAACTACTTAATGTCTTTAAGCCTTGACTCCCTCATCTGTGATAGGAACAATAGCAGTGCCTAACTCACAGGGATGTTTTCAGATTAAGTTGGATAATGTGCATAAAGAACTTAGCTTAAAAGCTACCACTAGTTTTTTCAGTGGTTTTACTACTAATAGCCACTCTCATTGTTATGCATGGGAGCTACTATTAATAAGACACAGTCTGTGCCCTCAGGGGCCCCAGGGCCCAGCTGGAGTAGGAGTTGGCTAACAGGGAACACAGACAAAGAACCCCTAAACTGCTGGTGTGGTGGAGGGACGGGGCAGAGACTTGCCAGAGGGTGATACTGCAGCCCAAGTGAGGAAGTGGGAGGAGAAGGATTCCGAAAGAGACCAACACTCGGGAGAGAGCAGAGGTCTCCACCCGGGAACTGAAGGGGTTTGGCCCAGCTGGGACTCCAAGCGGGGAGGAAAGGGACCACAGGACTTTGAGGGTGATGTTGAGAAGTCTGGCGCCCCAGCTGGGTCTTAAGCAGGGGAGCAACTTGGTCAAACTGTACTTCAGGAAAATTGCTGTGATCCCTTTGGGGGAAAGAATGGTGGAAGACTCGGTAGGAGCTGCTGAGCAGCACAGTGAGGGCTTCGGCAGGGCAGGGCCTCAGACGCAGAGCGGAGGCACCAGCTTTAAACAGGAGCTAGACTGGGCTGCGGGTTAAAGGAGGCGAGGAAGCCCGAACGGCACCCGGGTTCTCCAGGAGTGATTGTGTGGGCGGAGTCCTCACCCACTAGGGCCAGCAGGGCAGGGGAAGGACAGGGAGAGGAGAGCAGGTCCGTCTGGGCACATGAGGAGTGAAGAGTCTGAGGGTCATCATGGAGGGGTCCAGCAGGTGGAGCCTGCAGCCCACAGTTCTGGGAGGTCACAGCGACACCTGGAATGAGTGGACAGCCCAGGACAAATCCTAGGCCAGCACCAGCAGGATGGGGGAACAACCTGTGCAAGGGACTGAATGGAGAGGCCAGGGAGGTGGGAGGACCACCGAGAGAAGTCACCTCACCCAGAGGGAGGGGGCTCCTGCAAGGTGCGAAGAGGAAAGAGCGCCTGGGGCCTCAGGTCAGAGAGGGTGGGGGCAATCAGGGAAGTTCCAGGAACAGAAAGCCAGTTCTGTGGGCCACGGGGAGGCACAGCAGCAGACGGGACTTGGCTAAGAGGTGGGGAGAAAGGGCAGGAGCTGGAGTTGAGGTTGGTGTGGGGGTAGGGGTAGGAAAGCAATGAATTGTGTGCTTTTGTGTATGGTGTACACTCTCAAGAGCTGCCTGGGGACAAGGAGAGGTGAAAATGCAGGAAGGAGGCAGGCATTTGGTGCAGTGGTTAATATGCCACCACCATCAGAGTGCCTGGTTCGAGTCCTGGATCTGCTCCCATTCCAGCTTCCTGCTAATGAGCACCCTGGGAAGCAGCAGGTGATGATGGCTCTAGTACTTGGGTCCCTGCCACCCACATGGGAAAGCCAGGTTGAGTTCCAAACTCCTGGCTGCATCCTGCCCCATTCCCCACTGTTGCAGGCATCTGGGAAGAGAACCAGTGCACAGAATATTGATCTTTCTCCCTTTCAAATAATGTGAAAATAAATTTTTAAAAAACACTGGAGGGAGGATAAAGCTAGTGATGAAGTTCACCTAGAAAGCAGGGGTGTGGGGGTGGGGTGTGCAGAGGTGTCCCAGAGCAGGGAAGGCAGGGTGAGAGTAGGGGTCCCATCCCTCCTAATGGCTGCATGCAGAGCTCTTCCCCCCTTCCCTGTCCCTTCCCCCATGTGCTTTGTCCACAGGGCAAGGGTTTGTACTTTTCTTATTGGGGTCAGGGACCATGCTCACTGGCATTCTCACTGTCTCACTTCATTTTCAAAATTCCTCCATCAGTCGTCTCCCACTACTTTTATTTGAGATTATCCTTGGATATGGAGAGTCTCAGGCCAGACAGTGCCACTGCCAAAAACACAGTCACATGGGGCTGGCGCTGTGGCATAGCAGGTAAAGCTGCCACCTCAAGTGCCGACATCCCATATGGATGCTGGTTCAAGTCCTGGCCGCTCCACTTCTGATGCAGCTCTCTGCTATGGCCTGGGAAAACAGTAGAAGATGGCCCAAGTGCACCCGTATGGGAGACCTGGAGGAAGCTCCTGGCTCTCCTGGCTTCAGATTGGTGCAGCTCGGGGGTTTGCGGCCAGTTGGGGGGTGAACCAGCAGATGGAAGATCTCCCTCTCTCTATGCCTCTCCTTCTCTTTCTGTGTAATTCTGACTTTCAAGTAAATAAATAAATCTTTTAAAAACACACACACACAATAAAAATCACACTCATGGCGATCCAGAGTGGGCTCTCTTTGCATTGAGTGTCCAGAAAGTAACTCTTCAGGCTAAAACAGAGGGGTCAGGCTAAAACAGAGAGAGCAGGGATCTGGGCTCATGGAGTGTCTTAGACGTGAGCAGCAGTCTTGGGATCCTGATCCTCTTTCTCACCAAGACACAGCCCCCCTCCAACCCTTGGAGACCCCGTCAGCTCGCCTCTCGGCCCACAACACAGCACCTGCCAGGGAATCCTCATTGCCCAAGAGCTATCAAAGGCCCACATGGCACAAGGCCCTGTTGCTTCCTCGGGCTCCACACCTCCTCTCAGCTGAGCAACACTGCCAAGAAAAACCAGAGGGTAAGTGAGGGAACCAGTTGTGACCTGCCCGGCGAGCAGGTGCCAGTGCATCAGCTGGACCCCGCCTTCAGTGTCTCCTGGAGTCTCGAAGATGGAAAGGGAGGCAAACACTCTGGGACCAGTTTCCTGAAGCTCCAGTTCATCCAGCTGTCCTGTGAGGAGCAGCCCTGGAACCAGAGGCAGCCACCATGGCGCAAGGTAGGGAAGGTACTTGGGGCCACTGAGTACAGGACAGAGAGAGATTGCGGGAAGTCAAGGGAGGGAAAGTGGATTCAGAGGAAGGAAGAAGGACATTCAGCATTGGGGCAGCAAGAGTAGGAACCACAGAATCCTTTGGATTCATTGGTGGCCTGCGAAGCAGGGGACAGGGCGGAGGCTGGCAGCTGAACCCCGCCAAACAGATGGGTGCCAATGCCTGCTCCCATCACCAGGTGCAGCAGGGTAGGGCCAGTGAGCAGGGGGTCAGAGTTCCTGTCCTTTTCTGCCTCCAGCTGACCTTTGGATGTTGGTCAAGTCACTTCTCTAGTTTCCACTTCCAGTGCCTGAAACATGGAAGGGATCGGGCCAGACCATCTTGAAGTTGCCTTACGGCTCCAAAACTGCCTCAATCTTCATGCCTTCCCTTCCCTCGCTACAGAGCCTCTGCTCTTCATCTTAGCGGATCATCCCACTGTCTTCCTCCTCTCTAAACTACCTCCTTTTTCTCTAGAAAGACCTGCTATGAAATGAAATGCTTAGTGGAAACTATTTGTAGGAATGAGCTTCTAGCTTGCTCTACAGCTATAACAGTATATCTTCATCTGTTACTTTTGGTGCTTAAATTTTTATTTTAAAATTCCAATAACTTTTACAGGGACACATAGTTGGAGTAGGACAAGTCAATAACTAAAGCTGTGGTCCTCCAACTGCCACCCTCAATTTCAGCCTCTTCTCATCTGTTGCTAGTCTTTTTCTACACATCTGCATTCTTTAGATAGGTAGATAAATGGATAGAGACAGATAAATATAGATGGATAGATATCACACGTAATACATAATATTAACATGTGTGCTTCTTTTTTGGTATATCCATGGTGTCATCATATTTTACATATTTTTCTACAACTTGACTTTTTTTCACTCAACAGTATGTCTTGGAGCTCTGTCCATGCCAGTAAGTATCTATAGCTCTACATCAATATTTTCCATAGTTTGGTGTAAGGAGCTTATTTATCCTGTCCCCTCTGGATGGACACTTATGTTATTTCCAATTCTTCAGTTATACAATCCATATTGCGATGAGCACCTTTGTCCATGCTTCCTTCAGCTCATGTGGGAGTGTCTCTCTATGGTAGACACTGAGGTCATTTACTTTCAAAGTTTTTCCTATAGTCTGCTTTTTATTTCCTTTATCACTTCATCTCATCCTCCCTTCACCTCAAGTAGAACAAAAATGCCCAACAGATAAATCAACCTCCCCTCTCAATGCGTGGTGTCTGGGCTGAGGAATATTCCTTGTGTTGTGGGTAAACATGAACTTGACCCATGGTGTGTCCACAGGATGAGACTTGGCTGCAGGGCTGGCTGTCTGGCAGAGGCTACCACACCTGCTGAGTAGTCTGAGTCATGTGTTCAACCTAAACAGGAGCCAGCAGCTGCTCTCTTGTTTACTCTATTGGTCTCCACAAAGGAGTGAGGTTTTTTTTTCCCCACTACTAGGAAAATGCCAAGTGCTTTCCAAGCTGGTAGCGGATCAGGATGATCTTTTTGAACATAAGTGAAAGCTGGCCATGAGTGGCAGCTCTTGGGTAATGGAAAGAGCACTGAACTTGGGTCAGGAATTCTGGCTTTACTCTTAGGGTGACATGTAGTCTACTGGAACCTGAGTTTTCTGGTCTCCAAGTGTGGATGACATGACATTTCATCCCTCCAGCACTGTGTTGAGGGTGAGATAAGATACCTGTCCCAGAGTGCCTAGCACAGGGCCTGGCCTGTAGCAGAGAGGCTGCCAATAGAATGCTGATTGAGCCTGGAATCTGGAGAAACACAGGGTGATTTCACAAAATTAACCAAATAGACATCTCTGAGTACCTACAATGTGCTAATCATCACGCTTTTATTTCTTATATAATAATAATAAGCTAATTTATGAAAAAGATGTGTAATCAGGACGAGGACAGGTGTTTGGTGTAGCAGTTATGATGCTCATATCTCATATATTAATGCCTGGCTTCACTTCTGATTCCAGTTTCCTGTTAATGCACGCCCTGGGAAGCAGCACATGATGCTCAAGTACTCGGGTTCCTGCCACCAACACGGGAGACCCAGATCAAGTTCCAGACTCCTGGTGTGGGCCTGGCCCCACCGTGGCTGTTGTGGGCATTTGGGGAGTGAACCTGTGGATGAAAGATCTCTGTCTGTTTCTGTCTCTGTCTCTCTGTTTCTTTGCATTTAAAATAAGTATTTTTTTAAATAACAAAACAAAAAGAAGTTCAAGAGATTTAAAAAGATAAAGTTTAGGCCGGCGCCGTGGCTCAATAGGCTAATCCTCCACCTTGCGGCGCCGGCACACCAGGTTCTAGTCCCGGTCAGGGCGCCGGATTCTGTCCCGGTTGCCCCTCTTCCAGGCCAGCTCTCTGCTGTGGCCAGGGAGTGCAGTGGAGGATGGCCCAAGTCCTTGGGCCCTGCACCCCATGGGAGACCAGGAGAAGTACCTGGCTCCTGCCATCGGATCAGCATGGTATGCTGGCCGCAGCACGTCGGCCGCGGTTCACCATTGGAGGGTGAACCAACGGCAAAGGAAGACCTTTCTCTCTGTCTCTCTCTCACTGTCCACTCTACCTGTCAAAAAAAAAAAAAAAAAAAGATAAAGTTTAATAGTTATTAGATACTGGCCGGCGCCTTGCCTCACTTAGCTAATCCTCTGCCTGCAGTGCTGGCACCCCAGGTTCTAGTCCCGGTTGGGGTGCCAGATTCTGTCCCGGTTGCTCCTCTTCCAGTCCAGCTCTCTGCTGTGGCCCGGGAAGGTAGTGGAGGATGGCCCAGGTGCTTGGGCCCTGCACCCCATGGGAGACCAGGAGGAAGCACCTGGCTCCTGGCTTCGGATTGGCGCAGCGCCGGCCGTGGCGGCCATTAGGGGAGTGAACCATCAGAAGGAAGACCTTTCTCTCTGTCTCTCTCTCACTGCCTATAACTCTCTGTCTCTCTCTCTCTCACACTGTCTAACTCTGCCTGTCAAAAAAAAATTAGTTATTAGATACTTTGATATGGTTGATTTGGTTCATACCATAATAGCTTTATTGGACATAATTCACGCCACTAAAGCTCACCAGTTTAAAGTGTATAGTTCAGTGGCTTTTGGTATAGTCATTCACTTTTCACGAGCTTCACTACTATCTAGTTCCAGAATGTCTTTGTCATCTCAAAAAGAAACCTTGTCCCCATTATCAGTCACATCTTCTTCCACCTTCCCCAGCCCCTGGCACGCTCCAATCTACTTTCCGTCTCTGTGAAATTACCTGTTCTGGACAGTTTCTACAGACGGAGTTTTACAATACATGCTCTGTAGGGTCTGACTTACTTCACTTAGCGCTACGTCTTCCAGGTTCATACAGTCTGCTCAGCGTTCCCTTCTGTGGCAGAGCAGTCACATTTTGTTTATCCCTTCATCAGGTGAGGGACACTGGGGTTGTTTCAATTTCCCAGGCTTTATGAATAATACTGCTAGCCGCATTCATGTGTGGGTTTTGTGTGAATGTAGGTCTCAATTCCCTTGGCTATACCCCTAGGGATGAAATTGTTGGGCCATACGGTGGCCATACATTTAATCTTTTAAGGAGCTACCAGGCTGTTTTCCAAAGTGCACTTTATCCCACTAGCAGTGTTTGAGGGTTTCAATTTTCCACATTCTCACCAATGAGTATCACCTGTCTCTCTTATTCTAGCCATCCTGGTGGCTGTGACATGGTATCTTACTTGTTTTTCCCTAATGACTAGAGGTTTTATTGGCTTTGTATATCTTCTTTGGCGAAATGTCTATTCAGATAAACTGCCCATTTTTAAAGAAGTTTTTTTTTATTTTTTATTTATTTGAAAGGCAGAGAGAGAGAGAGAGAGAGATCTATCTATCTATCCCTAGTTCATTCCCCAAATGGCCACAATGGCTGGAGCTGGGCCCAGCTGAAGCCAGGAACCTGGAACTCCATTTGGGTCTCCCCACATGGGTGTCAGGGGTCCAAGCACTTGTGCCATCACCTGCTGCCTCCCAGGGTGTACATTAACAGGAAGCTGGAGTCAGGAGCAGAGCTGGAACACAAATCCAGGCACTCCAGTATGGGATGCAGATGCCCCAAACAGCGTCTTAACCACTAGGCCAAATGCCTGCCACATATGCTATCATAAATGGGATTGTTTTCTTAATTATGTTCTCAGATTATTTCTGGCAAGCATCCAGAAATACAACTGATTTTTGTGTCTAGAAATAGAATTGATTTTTGTATATTGATATTGCATCCTGCAACCTTGCTGAATTTGTTCATTAATTCTAGTTTTGGGGAGTGGATTTCTTTGCATTTTCATACTCAAGATCATGTCATAAGAGAACAGAGATAATTCCACTTCTTTCCAGTCTGGAGGTCAACAATTTCTTTTCCTTGCCTGATAGCCCTGCCTGAAAACTCCAGGACAGTGTTGAGCAGATAGGATGAGAGCAGACATCCTCGTCTGTTCTAGATCTCAGCAGGAAGGCAGCCAGCGTTTCCCAGTTAGACACGGTCAGCTGAGGGATTTCACAATGTCCTTTAGGAGGCTGAGGAAGTCATCCTTCATTAGTTGCATGTGTTAATCATGATTTTATCAGTAGTCTGGTTTGTTTATATCTTAAATTGAAACACAGCCAAGACAAAGCCCCTAGGTCCTTGTCCTTACTGAATTATCTCGCTTAGTGAAAGGCAGACAAAAAAAAAAAAAAAAAAAAAAAAAGCTACTGTGGAAACTACCTGAAGACCTCATACTGAGTCTGAAGCTGGTAGGCTCTTGGTAAAATGAACAAACAAACTAGTTTTAAATGGACAAATGAGCATGGCAGGTCATGAACTTGTCAGGAAGTGCAGTTAAGCGCTGTGGGTCAGTAGGAGATGGAGATAAAGGTAGGCCATTGAGGACAGGCTTTGGGAAGGAGGTGGGTGTCGAAGGGCAGGTAGAATTAGACAGTGAAGGGTGCTCTGAGTTGGGGCTGTAGTCAGAACAAAGCACAGGCAAGTGGGGGTACCAGTTGTTTGAGGTCAGACTGGCTGGGGGAGAGTGCCCAAGGTGGGAGTATAAGAAGAGAGTTAAGGCCAAGCATGGAGGATCATAAAAGTCAGGCCAAGGAGACCTTTTGTGCAGGACCACAGGCTATCTCAGAACACTCCAAGAAAAGGATGGCTTGATCAAGCTATCTTGAGGAAAGTTGCTCTGGTGATGTGTTGGGGGGTGGGGGGTGGGAAAAGAGACAGGAAGCAGGAGAGATGAAGGGGACAGATTCCAGTCACTAGGACTGAGGACAGGTGGTTGGGATTATGCTGCACAGGTGGGCAGAAACAGGCTTTTTTTTTTTTTTTTTTTTTTTTTTTTTGCAAGAGAGATGGAGATGAGAGAGAGAGAGAGAGAAAGAGAGCTCCAATATGCTGGTTCACATCCAAAATGCTCACACAACAGCCAGGGATGGCCAGGCTAAAGCCAGAGTCAGAAACTCAGTTCAGGTTTCCCATGTGGGTGGCAGAGACCCAACTACTTAAGCCATCATCTGCCAGGGTGAACATTAGATTAGTAGGAAGCTGAAATCAGGAATTGAGCTGGGACTCAACCCAGGCACACTGATATGTGACACAGGTGTTTTAACTGCTAAATCAAATGCCCACTTCCAGAGAAATCTTTTAAAATTTATTTATTTATCATTTATTTGAAAAGCAGATGACACAGAGAGTGGGCAAACACAGAAAGAGCTCTCCCATCCACTGGTTCACTTCCCAAATGCCTGCAACAGCCAGGTCTGGGCCAGTCTGAAGCCAGGAGCCAGGAATCCCATCTGGGCCTTCCACATGGGTGGAAGGGGCCCAAGGACTTGGGCCATCATCCACTACCTTCCCACGTGCATTAGCAGGGAGTCAGATTGTAAGTGAAGCAGCTGGGTCTGAAACCAGTGCCCTGTGGGATGTTGGCATCGCAGGCAGCAACTTAACCCATTGTGCCGCAACACCAGCACCACCTCCCACCCCCCACCTGGAGGCATTTTAATGAAAGCAGCAAAGTGACATGTGAGTGGCCACAGACTGAGTCAAGTGTGACTGAAAGGCTGCGAGCTTCCCAGATGCCTGGGGCCCGTGATCCCAAGTGGAGGAGTCAGGGATGGAGCAGTGCTCCCGAGGTCGGTTTCTCAGAAGACTGCACAGAAGTCTAGGAGTAGGGACTTGCTCTGACAGTCCTCAGCATCCAAGTTCCCAAGCTGCTGGTGGCCGGAGAGTTAGCAAATTGCTAAGTGAAGAGCTGTGAATCCAGAGGCAGCTAACCCTGCTCCACGTCTAGTGGCTGACACCTGGGCAGATGAGACTGTTAAGTCCAAAAAAGAGGGTGTCAGGGGCCAGCATTGTGGCACAGCAGGTTAAGTCACCACCTACTATGCCAGCATCTCATTTCTGAGAGCTAGTTTGAGTCCTGCCTGCTCTATTTCTGGTCCAGCTCCCTGCTAATGCACCTGGGAAAGCAGTGGAAGATGGCTTAAGTGCTTGGGCCCCTGGCACCCATACAAGAGACCCAGATGGAGTTCCTGGCTCCTAACTTCATGTGATCCAACGTCGGCCATGTGAGCATCTGAGGAGTGACCCGGTGAATGGAAGACCTCCCTCTCTTTATAGCTGTCCCTCTCTCTGTCACTCTGCTTTTCAAATAAATGCACTTTTTTACATATGGATACCAGGGGAGACTGATGGTAAGCTGAAGGGAGCAATGAATTTTAGCCAGGTCTACAGAGTAGTCAGGCGGGATCAGAAAGCTGTCCACCTCCAGGAGGGCATAAAGGAGAAGGGCTAGAGGGCCAGGGCGGTGGGGGAGGAAGGGAGGGAGAGGAGCTTGCGCCCAGAGCTTTGGTTAATCCTCCTGCCAATGCTGTCAGGCTTGTATTACGGACTCTGTTTCCCCAGTATGGAAGCTGAGGTTCAGAAAGACTAAGTAAGTTTCTCAAGTTTGCGTGACCAGTGAGTGGTGGACAGGACTGGAGTAGATAGATCCTCAGCTCTGCTATTTCGTCTGCGCATGGCCGCCAATCTCAGGGCTGGAGGTGGCCCTCACCGACCTCCAGAGCTCCCGGAACAACGTGCGGCACCACACGGAGGAGATCGCCGTGGACCGCCTCCTCGTCCGCCGGGGCCAGGCTTTCCTCATCACCCTGTACTTCAGGAACCGCGGCTTCCAGCCTGGCCTGGACAACATCATCTTTGTGGCTGAGACTGGTGAGGGCCCCAGCTGGCTCGAGGGTGGGGGTGGGGGCGCGCACCCCCCACGGGGAGATCCCTACGGGCTGCGAGGTCACCACAGAGGGTCTCAGCTCTGCTTCCCTCGAAGGACCCCTGCCAGACCTGGCCAAAGGAACCCGGGCAGTGTTCGGCCTGGGAAGCCGCGGAGGGCCCAGCCCCTGGATCGCCTTGCTGGAAAGCAATGGGGCGACCTCGCTGGAGGTGAGCCTGTGTGCGCCCCCCGTGGCGGCCGTGGGGCGGTACCTCCTGAAAGTCCACATTGACGCCTTCCAGGGCTCCATCACAGCCTACCAGCTCGGGGAGTTCATCCTGCTCTTCAATCCCTGGTGCCCAGGTAAGACTGGGGGGCCCGGGTGGGGGTCCCTTGTCTCTGCGTCTGACAGTGCTGCCACAGCCAGCCAGGCTCATGCTCAAACTCTGGCCACCCACAGACTTCCCCCACTCCTCTCATTCAGTACCCATCCTACCACCAATAGCCGGGGCGGAAGGACCTTGCTATTTGCTTTCTTAGTTAGAATTTTAAAATTATGAACCAAACCATCTTTACATAACACTGTTAGCTTCTACCTGCAGCATGCATTTTTTAAATTTTATTTGACAGAGTCAAACAGTGAGAGAGAGACAGAGAGAAGGGTCCTCCCGCCACTGGCTCACCCTCCAAATGGCCGCTATGGCCGGAGCTATGCCGATCTGAAGCCAGGAGCCAGGTGCCCCTTCCTGGTCTCCTATGCGGGTGCAGGGCCCAAGCACTCAGGTCATTCTCCACTGCCCTCCTGGGCCACAGCAGAGAGCTGGACCGGAATAGGAGCAACTGGGACCAGAACCCAGCGTCCATATGGGATGCCGGCCATGCAGGCAGAGGATTAACCTAGTGAGCCATGGCGCCAGCCCTGCAGCATGCATTTTAAAGCTAACTTGAGCTTTTTCATTCTAAGAGTAAGAAATGCACTGCACTGAACATTTTTGGAGTGAAATAAAAAGTAAATCCCTGTGCCCACCCCCAAAGAAAAGAAAGGCAAAGGAGAGAAGTGACACCTTCCAGTCCCCAAATTCATTCTCCAGTGGAAACCTTAACACTTTCTTGCTTAACTGTAGAAAGGCATTCTATGCTTACTAAAAAATGTGTGCTTGTGTGTGTGTGATCCTACAGCACATATCACTAGTGTGGTTATAGACTACACACCAGCCTTGTACACATGTTCCTAACAGGACATTCTTCTTTTTTATTTTTATTTATTTTTTTATTTTTTTTTATTTTTTATTTTTTTGACAGGCAGAGTGGACAGTGAGAGAGAGAGACAGAGAGAAAGGTCTTCCTTTGCCGTTGGTTCACCCTCCAATGGCCGCCGCGGCCGGCGCGCTGCGGCCGGCGCACCGCGCTGATCCGATGGCAGGAGCCAGGAGTCAGGTGCTTTTCCTGGTCTCCCATGGGGTGCAGGGCCCAAGCACCTGGGCCATCCTCCACTGCACTCCCTGGCCATAGCAGAGAGCTGGCCTGGAAGAGGGGCAACCGGGACAGAATCCGGCGCCCCGACCGGGACTAGAACCCGGTGTGCCGGCGCCGCTAGGCGGAGGATTAGCCTAGTGAGCCGTGGCGCCGGCCACATTCTTCTTTTTTAAAAGATTTATTTATTTGAAAGGCAGAGTGACAGAGAGAACAAGAGATCTTCCATCCACTGGTTTACTCCCCAAATGGCCAGCATGGGTAGGGCTGGGCCAAGCTGAAGCCAGGAGCCTGGAACTCCATCCTGGTCTCCCACAGGGGTGGCAGGGTCCCAAGCACTTGTGCCAGGCACAGGCGCATTAACAAGGAGCTGGATTGGAAGCAGAGAAGCTGGGACTTGAAATGGTGCTCTGATACAGGATGCCAGTATTGCCAGCAGCGACTTAACCTACTGTGCCACACACAGGCCCCAGAACATTCTTCTTAACAGCTACAATTATCCACTGTTGGGATGCACCAGTTGTTCTAGGGGACTTTGGCTGTTTTCCAGTTTTTCTCTTGCACAAAGCCTCAGTGAATATTCTGCTTTTACCCGACCCACAAGCCCTGCCCTGTCCATCTACAGAGGCAGTAGCAGACGCATAGACACAGAACCAGGAGGAGCGAGAAGACAAGAGGCAGGAATCAGGAACACAGAACAGGTCTGGTGTGTGCTGGGGCAGAGGCCAGCCTCAACCAAGTCTTGCTTCTGGCTTGGAGAGTGATCTCCTTGCCATCTTCCCTCTCGTCCTCCCACCTTTGTCAACCTTATCCCCAGGGGGCTGCTGGGCCAATCAGGATCCAGAGCCCTGGCTGCATTCTAAGACTCTTCCAGCTTTCCACCTTCCTGTCACTGAAGGGCTAAGAACTCTCACCAGCCAGGTGAGGAGGCCCTGCCCCTGGATCAGGGAGGGCCAGCTCTGTCTCCTTCCCCTCCCCCCCCCCCCCCCCCGCCTCAACACTTGAGCTATGAGGAGGAAATCTTTTTTTATGGGGCCTTCTCTCCTGAGCTTGTGCCCTCTCCCAGGTCCTAGGGAGGCCCCCACACTGGGACCGGGGATTGGGAGGTGCTGAAGTCAGGATCAGCAGCTGCCTCCCTCCTGACTCACCGCGCCCAGGATCTTGGCTGGAGAGCTCCACTTTGCTGGCCCTGGCTGTGAGGAGGGGCATCTGTGGTGTCCACGGAGTCTGCAGCTTCTTGCCCCACTGGTCCATCCCAGCAAGGAGTCCTCGTGCACCTATATCCTGTCAGACTGTGTCTGAGGCTGAGCCTGATGGAGGGAGGTGGCTCTTCACCTCTGGCTCAGGCAGGCCTTCTAGACAATTCCACCACAAAAAAGAAATCTGCTCCCATGGTCTTCTGTTTGTTCTTAACTTTAAAAAGACAGTTTAAGGGGCAGGCATTTGTCCTAGCAGTTAAGATGCTGCTGGGGTGCCCATATCCCATATCAAGGTGCCTGGGTGTGACTCTGTTCTGGATTCCAGCTTCCTGCTAATGCACAACCCCGGAGGCAGCAGGTGCCAGCTCAAGTACTTGAGTCCTGGCCATCCTTGTAGGGACCTGGATTGACTTCCTGGCTCCTGCTTTGGCCTGACCCAGCCCTGGTTGGCTGTTGCAGATATTTGGCGAGTGAACCAGCAGAGGGGGAGTTCTCTCTCTTTCTCTGCCTCTCAAATAAAGTAATCAAATAAGAAAAGAAAAAACCCTGTGCTAAAAAAAAAAAAGAGATAATTTGCTATATCAAAAAACAACACATGTTCATTCCAGAAAAATTTGGAGAAAACCAACAGGCAGAAAGAAAAACAAAAGCAATTACTGTAAATGTCTTTTGGAATAGGCTCCTAAATCTGTGTTCATAGACATATATATGAGGGTGTCTTAAAAATTCATGAAAAGTGAAATGAAAAGGTAAATATATTTTGGTGCAAAAAGTTTTCAAAACCCATGCATGATTTTTTATAATATGCATTTTCTATTAACTTTTTGGAGGCCCTCACCTGTGCATGGATCTCAAATTATTTTTGAACCAAAATACACTTAATTTTAAATTCCATTTCTCACTTTCTGAAGTCCCCTTTTTTTCTAACAAAAAGTCAACTCATGACATACATATTATTTTGTAACCTATTGAGACTAAAACTAGCACATGTAGATTTATTTCTATGTCATATATACCATTTTGCCCCTTATAGTAATATTGTATGAAGTTCTGTGGTAGAGTTCTTTAATCAGTCCCCAGGAATATGGCAGTTAGGTAATTTCCAGCTCTTCAGTATTATAAACAGCACTCAGATGAACAGTTTAGAATCTAAGTGTTTGTGCACATCCTAAATATTTACATTGGCATAAGTTCTTCCAAAAGAAATGATGTTGTCCATGCCAACACTTAAGTTCTGGTTTGCAGTTTTCTGGCCAAGATCAGTGGAGTATTGCAGAAAAAACACAGAACATGGAGTCTCATAGTTCTGTTCAACTTCTAGCTCTGCAGTTAGGTGTGCTTTCAGCTTAATCTCTCAACTTTAGTGTATAACCATAGTGTATAAATGTGATTTGCAAATCAAGAAACCAGGTCAATTCTTATTATTCCACCTTGTGTTCCTATTGACCTCGTTGCTGGCACTGGGGGTGTGGTCTCCCCAAGCCCCTCCTCCTCAGCTCCATGTCACCAGATGCCCTCTCCAGAACTCAGTTTCCACAGGACTGTGAGAGTGGTGATGGGGCAGGAAGGGTAAGGTGACTTTGCTGCTTTGTGTCCTCCCTCTTTGATTCCTAGAAGACGCTGTCTACTTGGACAGTGAGCCCCAGAGGCAGGAGTATGTCGTGAATGACTATGGCTTCATCTACCAAGGAAACAAGAACTGGATCCGTCCATGCCCCTGGAATTATGGACAAGTGAGTCTTAGCCCTGCTCTTGGACCATTCAGATTGGACCACTGGGCTGCTGGGCAGGGGGGAGTGGGAGCAGGTGTACTGCTGACCAACGCTAACTGAATGCCACCAGGACGGTATGATATGTGATCCCAGGTTGCTAAAGGACCAGCCATGGGAAGTCCCTGCTGACCATGTCTGATTTGGACAGCAGGACCTAAGAGGCAAGGGCAGGTAAAGGCCACCCAGCCAGGAAGTCCACTAAGGCTGAGGGTGAGGGGCTGTCAATCACAAAGGCAGTGATAGAGCTTAGCTTTTTTGTTTGTTAAAGCGTGTTTCCAGTAGGGTCTCATTTTCCACTCGCTCACTTTGTCCTCACAGCCCTGGTGACAGACCCCAGCCTCAGTTCTGCCACACTCATGAAAACTCAATCATCTCAGCCAGAAGCAGGGCTGATGAGCAGTGACACCTCTCCCTCTTCATGACCACTGCTTCTTCTCTTGTTTGTTTGTGTGATAAATCTTTTTCATCACAGAAATAACACATGATCGTTAAAAGAAAAAAAACTTTGAGGCCGGCGCCACGGCTCAATAGGCTAATCCTCCGCCTTGCGGCGCCGGCACACCGGGTTCTAGTCCCAGTTGGGGCGCCAGATTCTGTCCCAGTTGCCCCTCTTCCAGGCCAGCTCTCTGCTGTGGCCAGGGAGTGCAGTGGAGGATGGCCCAAGTGCTTGGGCCCTGCATCCGCATGGGAGACCAGGAGAAGCACCTGGCTCCAGGCTTCGGATCAGTGCTGTGCGCCAGCCGCAGCACACTGGCTGCAGCGGCCATTGGAGGGTGAACCAACGGCAAAGGAAGACCTTTCTCTCTGTCTCTCTCTCTCACTGTCCACTCTGCCTGTCAAAAAAAAAAAAAAAAAAAAAAAAACTTTGCAAAAACACATTACAAAAATGGGTACCTGTAAGTCAGCCAAAGCACCTCACTGGCTTGGTGGATGCTCCTCTACATTTTTGTTTTCTACTCATATTCTACAATTTTATATGCCTTTCTAAAAGGTTGCCTTTCACTTAAGGCTCAGCCCATAGCTGGTGCTCCTGGAAGACCAGGGCCAGCCAGGGAAAGGGTTTCTCCACGCTGAGCCTGGCGCCAGCAAGCAGCACTATGGGAGGGAGGGGATCAGCCCTTGGCTGTGAGAGCTCTTGAACAGGCATTTGCTGTCATACTCATTAAAACCATTAGTGAGGAGTCACTCCTTTCTGAGCCCTAGGTCCCTTCCTTTCTGCAGTCTCCTGTGAACGTACATTGCATGCCTGCTTAGTGCCCAGCTGAGTGCGAAGTGCAAGGCACAGAAAAGTAAATGGAACGCTGTCCCTGATTCCACATGTAGTGGGGACTCAGACACAGGAACAAGCCACTTACCATTAGAGGGGGTGGTTAAAGATGGAGAGACAGGTGCTGAATGTTCTGGGGCCAGAGGAAGAGCTGTGGGTTGGGTAGGGGTGTATGGGGGGAAGCTTCTTGAAAGAGGAACTATGTTAGGCAAGAGAAGCAGGCGGGGAAGATTTCCCAGGCAGAGGGAAAATGTGAGCACAGACGCAAAGGTGAGGGACAGTTTGGCTCCTGCAGAGGTGATGAGGAATTTGGTGTCGCTGGGGCAACAACAGCGAGCAAGGCAGTGGGCATGGAGATGGGAGGCTGGAGAGGTGGGAGGGGGCCCCAGGCCAGGGAGGCTCTTTTGTGTCTTCTACAGGATGATGCAGCCTTCATTCTCTGGGCTGTGGGGACCTTGGGAAAGCAGAAAAGTGAACTGATTAGATAGTCTTGCAGAAACGATGGCTTAGAAAAGCTGCCGCGTTCTGCTTATTGCCCACTGTTATTTGGGAATAAATGCATTCACTTGTTCTCTTTCAGCAAAAGTGTTCTGAGCACCTTGCATGTGCTGGGCACTGTGTGGGTTTGGGGTTTAAAGTGGGGAAAAGAGCTGGGCTGAGATGGAGTTGATGATCAGGCAGGAGAGACAGGCCTTGACTGTGTGGTTGTAATGGAGTGACGCGTAAACGGAGTACATCCAGGGATACAGAGCTACAGCAGGCCCAGGCTGGCAAAGGTCACGGAGGAAGTGACCTCACACCAGGCATGAAGGCTGAAGAGGAGCCATACATCTTAAGTGGGCAGTTTCCATAACTCACTTGCTGTTAGTCCAGCTGCTAGGTTGGTGCCAGTGTGACCTGGGTGTGCAGAAGCCACGGCAGAAGGGGCCAAGTGGTTTTACCAAGCAAATCCCAACAAGTATGGGGATTGAGGGATTGAGAGGGAGACACAGGTTTCCAGGCAGGGAGGCTCATTGGAAAAGAAACCCTACAGTAACAGCAGCCACTTCAAAATGAAGAGGGCGGCATGTGACTTGCAAGGCAAAGGCATCTGCTAGGTCGTAAACCCAGAGCTTTGAACCCCACACCTCGGGGGTGGTTCATGGCTGTTCTGTTTGGCCCAGTTACCTTCCAAATGGGTTTGATTTCCTCCAACACACAGCGGGGTGGGTTCTGTAGTTCTGTCCATAGCCCCATCTGCAAGCCTACAAAATAGGCAGGCAGATAGAACAAAACCTATTAGGTCTGTAAGCTGGAGACCACACTCACCACCACGCACCCTGTGTGATCTCACGTCCCTACGTGACCACACCTGGGCGTCCACCTGCCCACCAGACCTTGTCCCCTTTGAAAAGCATATAAAGGGCGAGGAGTGCCCCAAAATCGCTCTCTGCCTTCGCTTCGCTGTCCATGATAAGCTGCTTATAGCTACTCAAAACCAAATGCTTGCTGCACATGGCTTTTGGCCTGCTTTCTGCTTGGTTTGGACTCCAACTTAATTTCCAGACTTTCCCTTCTCCCTTAGGTTAACACCCTCACTCTCCTATGCATTTCTCTCACTGAATAAAAAGCTTAAAACTTATCATGTTGCCTGGATTATTTGTGCCAGTATTCAGAATTCTTCTCTGAATATGTGACAAGAGCCCACATGGTTTTTTAATATGGATATATATGAATATATATACACAATACATTATTAATAAAATATTATCCTATATTAATAATATATTATTAATATTCGTATTAATTGTTAATCAAATACTTAAAATCAATATATTCATATTCACATTAATCAAATATTAAAATTGATATTAATATATTCATGTCAATTAAATATTGAATAATATAATAATTAAATATGAATATGAATATATTGATGCTAATATAATTAATAATAATATTACTAAGCAAATTGTCTGCATCTCCCCTGCAGTTTGAAGAGAACATCGTAGACATCTGCCTGGAGCTGCTGGACAAGAGCCTCAACTTCCAGGTGGACCCAGCCACGGACTGTGCCCTGCGGGGCAGCCCCGTCTACATCGGCAGAGTGGTGTGCGCCATGGTGAGGTCCCAGGAGTGTCCAAGGAGGGAGGAAGCTGGGTGGGGGAGCTGTGCCCACTCACTCACAGCTGCCCCCCGCCATAGAGGAATGAGAGAGAGAGAGGCTCCCCTCACCCTGGCCATGCAATTTTGGGGAACACGTTTTCATGGCGGAGTGTGGAAATGGCCGGGTGTGGGCCGCCGCCGATGTTAACTACAAGTTGCATTTTTGAGAAAGGCTAAGTGTAGCTCCAGTTGGATAGATGGTCTTGGTTTTTTATCGTTTGAGTTATTATTTTTTCTTTTCTTTTTCCCTAAATTGTCTTTGTTCTGAAATATGTATAAGGTCCTCGAGGCCAAGATCCAGGACAGGAACAGAACAATCAACTAAGAGTAGAACACAAGTCAGAAGAGCTGGCCTCCTCTCCCCTTGCCCGCCCAAGCGAGTCTGCAAGTTCCCCAGTAAAATGCCATCCAGGGGCTCCTGGGTGGCTCAGGCCCGTGGGCTTTTCAGGGCAGCCCACGCAGCACAGGACAAGCACGGTTCTAATCTTCCCACGCCCGGCGTCTCTTCAGATCAACAGCAACGATGACAACGGCGTGCTCAACGGCAACTGGAGTGAGAATTACACGGACGGCCTCAACCCCGCGGAGTGGACTGGCAGCGTGGCCATTCTGAAGCAGTGGCACGCCACGGGCTGCCAGCCCGTGCGCTACGGGCAGTGCTGGGTCTTCGCTGCCGTCATGTGCACAGGTAGGGAGTGGAAGGGGCCCCATGGAAAGACAGGACGAGGGCCCCAGGTGGCTCACAGTCCCTGCCAGGGCACGTTCCCGCTGGAATGCCCCGTCACTGCTCTCAGGCCTCACTTGCCCAGGCTGATTTCAGAGGATAGTTCTGGAGGGGAAGCTACTCGCTTCCCGAGACTGGGCGCCCTTCCCTTCTTCTGAGCATTTTCCTCAGAAAACTCCCTAGAAATCACCCAGGTCCAAGGTAGAAATGAGATGAGAGGCCAAGCGATGAGAAAATTTATACACTGAAGCATGCCCTTTCTGAGCACAGAGAACAGGATTAGTGGCAATGTGCACCTACAGGGGGAATGTGCATCCGAGCTGTGAAATGGGCCATGGGCTCAGAGCAAGACAGCAGCCCAGGAAACAGAGCCTACATAACCTTGAACTTGGAGCTGTTAAGATCAGAGGGCCTGGGGAGTTAAGGGATGGGGACAAATGAGAGATCAGCTTTTCAGATGGGAAGTAGACTCCACGTGAGTCGAAGAAATTCTAAAAAGCAGCAAATGGAAGTTGGGTTGTATGTGGCGAGAGGAGCAAGCAGCAGGAGGAGGTGCGGAGGAAATCCCCAGGGAAGTGACATCTGGAAATGAGTCACACGCTGGCGGCGACAGGAGGAGGCCTTTTGCCTCACCCAGGGCCAAGAGCTAAGAGCTTGTTCCTGGTCCTCACCCTCACTCTGCCCCCAGCCAAGGCTGGTTCTCAGCTTCGTGGCACGCACACCTGTGATGGACTTGGGTCACAGTCAGGTAGTTATTTGTGTTAGCCAGGGCAGGAGGCCCACTCAGGCTTCCACTCACAGGACTGTTGAGTCAAAGTCAGGGAGGCCAGGTGTACCCCTAAGTTGCAGGCTCAGGCCTCCTGTGCATAAATTTCCTGTGAGACAAAGCTTGGTGCAGTCAGTGTTATGTGTGTGTGTGGTGTGGTGCTGTGTGGTGTGTGTGTGTGGTATGTGTGGTGGGAGAGGCATGTATGTGTGTATGTGTGGTGTGTGTGTGTGGTGTGGTTGTGTGTGTATATGGTATGGTGTGGTGTATGTGTGGGGGTTGTGTGTGTGTGGGATGGTGTATGTGTATGTGGTATGTGATTGTGTGGTGTGTGTGTGGGATGTGGTGTGTATATGTGGTGGTGGTGGTGTGTGTGTGTGGTGTGTGTGGGATGGTGTGTGTGTGTGTATGGTGGTGTGGAGTGTGGTGTGTATGGTATGGTATGTGTGTATTGCTCCCATCTCTGGGCTCCCTGAGAAATGTGACAGCCCTGGAGGAATCCCCAAGAGCCCCAAACTACTGGACAGCCCCTGGCCTCTGTCCAAGGGCCCAAGGAGGCTTCTGTCACTCTGGACAGAGGAAGACTCGGCGGGAGTGGATGATGATGTGATCCTGAGTTTCTTCTCCCTGCTTGGCAGCGGCCCTATCTGTAGCGGGATGCTTTGATTGTTCACAGATTAGGAGCAAAGAATCCAACAGCCTTGGTACCCAGAGTCTTGGAGATGTGGATGCAGTGGGAGCTCTTAGTCATTCAGGAAGCAAGGATGAGACTGACGGGCAGAGAATGGTCTTATGCAACATCGAGAGGGAAACTTCTAGTGTGTGGAAAGGCCAAGTGTGTGTGCAAAGGGAGAAGGCTGCGTTTGGGTGTGGTTGTCTGGAACAAGGTGATGAAAGAGGTGGAGCCAGGGCTTGGTGATTATGCCCTGACGCAGACCAATTAAAATGTTTGCAAGATTAATGGCCCTTTAGTGGCTTGAGAAGCAAACATGGCTCGGTTCAGCTGCAGCAATCAGCACCAGTCTTCCCCTAAGGGGCTACCGTGTGCTATGCTAATAAATATATCAGTAGGAAAAACTCGTTAACTCATCCTGTGCTTATCGAGTCCTTATGCTGTGCCAGGCACTGTGTTCCAAGTATTCTTAGATACAAAGATAGGTGAGATCCTACCTCTGTCCTCTACCAAAGTTGAAGTTCAGGACTTAATCAAACTCCTTAACCCAATACAGCTGCCAAAGCACATTAAATTTTATTCTTCTTATTATTATTACTTTATAGCCACAATAGCTAATGTTTATTTCTTGTGTGCTCCACTGTGTGACATCCTGACAGTCTAGAGTAGTGATGAAGCATGCAAACTGCAGAGGCAGACAGTGGATTACAGTGGAGCCCCTTGTCTGCAGGAGACACAATCGAAACTGTGGACAGTATAGATGAACACATTGTGTTTTTTCCTGTAACATACAAACCTTTGAGGAAACTTAATTTTTTAAAGTTTCCTTATTTAAGAATTTTCACTTATTTATTTGAAAGGCAGAGAGAGAGAGAGATCTTCCATCTGCTGGTTCACTTCCCAAATGCCTGCAACAACCAGGGCCGGACCAGGTTGATGCCAGGAGCCTGGATCTTACTCTGAGTTTCCCATGTGCATATCAGGGACTTAAGAATATGAGCCATCACCTGCTGCCTCCCATGGTGTGTGTTACCAGGAAGCTGAGATTGAAAACGGAGCCAGGACTTAAACCTAGGCATTCTGATGTGGGATGTGGGTATCCTAACCACTGCACCAAATGCACATCTCAGAAAATTAAACTTCAAAATTAGGTACAGCAAGAGATTAATAATAACGGGTGATAAGATAGAATAAACAATAACAACAGGGGTCTTCAAAAAGTTCATGGAAAATGAAAATTATGAAAAAAGTTATACATGAATTTCAAAAATTTTGTGCCAAAATAAACTTACCTTTTAATTATGTCCATGGACTATTTGAGGTACCATCATATACTGTAATAAAATTGCTATGGACAGGTGTTTGGCATGGCAGTTAAGATGCTGCTTGCAACATGAGTTTCCTATTTCAGAGTGCCTGGGTTTGAGTCTTGCCTCTGCTTCCAATCCAGCTTCCTGCTAAAGCGCAGCCTGGGAGGGAGCAGGTGATGACTCAAGTACTTGGGTCCCTGCCATCTATGTGGGAGACCCAGATGGAGTTCCAGGCTCCTGGCCTCCACCTGGTACAGTCCCAGCTGTTCTGGGTATTTGAAGAGTAAACCAGTGGATGCAAGATCTCTGTCTGTCTGTCTCTCTCTCTCTCCTTTTCAAATAAACATAATTAAATAAAATTGTCAGCACCACTACGCTTGCACTTTGGGGCCATTAATAAATGAAACAAGAGTTTCTTGACCACGAACACTGTCATACTCTGTTAATCTGATAACCAGGATGTCTACTAGGTGACTAATGGGCAGGTGGCATATATAGAGTGGATACAGTGGACAAACATATTACTCCAGGTGGGATGGAGAGGGATGGTACAAGATTTCTTCATGCTACTCAGGCTGGTGTGTGATTTAAAATGTATTATTTACTTCTGGAATTTTTCATTTAATGTTTTTGGATTGTGGTTGAATCAGGGTAATTGAAACCATGGGAAAGGAAGCTACAGATAAAGGAGGATGCTCTCAATACCAGCGCTACCGGTAATTGGCCGAGTGCCCACGGGCAAGTCACTTAGTCTGTGCCTGTCTCCTCAGATGTGTGATGGGAGGAGTAGGGGCGCCTTCTCCCTAGGGTTACTGAAAAGATTAAGTGATTTTGTATGTGGAGAGCGTCTAGGGTAGTGCCTGGGCACTGAGAGTGTTCAGTAGCGGCTAGGGTTGTCTCATTTGATTCCCCAGACGACCTCACGAGCTAGGTTCTATCATCTCCATTTTACAGATCAGGGAATTAAGCGGCAGAGCTGGTGTTGCCCCCAAGCGTAGCTGGCTCTGCCATCTGTGCTGTGACCATCAGACTACCCTGCCTCATGCACACTGCTGGCAGCTGCCATTTAGCATGTTTCAGTCACACACTGGCACTTCTACTGTTTCTTTTAAAAATTGCTTTTTTGTTGTATTTTATTTATTTGAGAGACAGACAGAGAGATTTCCCGTCTGTTGGTCCACTCTCCAAATGCCCCAAACAGCTGGAGCTGGGATAAAGCTAGAGCCAAGAGGCAGGAATTCAATCTGGGGTCTCCCACATGGGAGGCAGGGACCCAGTTGTTTAACCATCACTCCTGCCTCCCAGGGTCTGAGCTGGCAGGAAGCTAGAATGAGGAGCAGAGCCAGAACTTGAACCCTGGTACTCTGATATGGGACACTGGTATCTTAACTGTTAGGCTAAGTGCCTGCTTCCCTTCTGCTATTCCTAATCCTCACAACCCTACAAAGTAAATATCATCGTAGCCATTTTATAGATGAGAAAACTGAGGCTTAAAGTGACCATGTAACTCTGTCTGACTCTGCAGCCCTCCTCCTAGTATTGCCTTTTAAAATGTCCACATATTAACTTCGGCTTCCTATAGAAAAATCACAGGCATCTTGGTGTGCATCAAAGATACAGTTACAATCTTTTGGGCAAGCTATTTCCTTGGCTCCATTTGGTAGATTGTCACCTGGGGATTTCAGGGAACCTGGGGTTTACCCTTCCTGTGCTCAGCACCAGCCTCCCCTTCCCACCAAGCCCCTGGCCAGTGGGCTGGTTCTGGCCTGACCCTCCACTCCCGGACAAGGCTCAGACCTGCAGTCCTCAGCTGAGACGTAGCCTGGATGCCTTGCTTGACAGTAATGTTCTGTTGTTCTGAAAATTCTTCCCCAAAGAGTCAGATGTAAACAAGCCTTATGTTGAATGATTCCATACAATGAAAGGACCGGAACTGACAAATCCATGGAGATACAAAGTAGATTCGTGGTTGCTTAGGGCTGAAAGGAGGGGATAATGGAGTGATTGCTAATGGGTATGGGCTTACTTTTTAAAGATTTATTTATTTATTGGCCGGCGCCGTGGCTCAGTAGGCTAATCCTCCGCCTTGCGGCGCTGGCACACCGGGTTCTAATCCCGGTTGGGGCACCGGATTCTGTCCCGGTTGCCCCTCTTCCAGGCCAGCTCTCTGCTGTGGCCAGGGAGTGCAGTGGAGGATGGCCCAAGTGCTTGGGCC